CTCCTCCGCCCCTGGCTCTCCCGAGGAGAAGGTCCGCCGCTGGTTCCGGGCTCTCCGCTCCCCTCGGGTCCGGCACCCTCTTTCCTCCAGCGCGCCCGAGGTCAGGGTCTCCGGCCCAGACCGTGTGGCCTGGGGGGGGGGGGTTCCAGCGTGAGCTCCCCAGCCCGGCGCCGAACGCCGGGGGACGGAAGCTCACTGCGCCTCCGCGCCCCGGGGAAACTCTCACCGGAGGGACCTGGGAAGGGTAAAATCAGTGGCAGAGACCGGACCCCCCCCCCGAGACTTCTGATGACGACGGGGGCGGGGGCCGGTGGGGAACAGCTCGAGGTGCCCGCTCCTCATCTCCTGGTTGCTGTTGGGAGTTCCCTGTACACTCTGCCCACCCCCTGGAAGATTTCGGGGTGGGCAGATGTTCCCTCTGGGCCCTTACTAATGGGTTGGTTAGCGGGTCCTCTTATCAATCATCCTGTCATTTCAAAAGCTGGTGGCTGTATCCTGCGCACTGTTAAGAACACTAGACAGTGAGATAAGTGATGGTTGTATTATATCACTTAACGCGACACCGTTGGTAAAGACATGTTGTTGTTGTCTGCCCTTGGCCCATAATGACACATGGGAGATACAATGTAATACACACAGAATGGCCCCATGGTTGAACGGTATTTTAACCGTCTCGTAGATCTGATTTTTTTTTTTTCTATACTCGAAACATTGAGTAAAGCAGAACTTTTTGAAAAGTCTCAGGCATATATCATCAAGCCGCAGAGTTAGTGGGGGTTGGGGTGGGGCCGGGGAGGAATGCAATAAAAAATTCTAGGTAGTGTAGTACAGAATTTTTAAAAGTAAGGGAAGAGGTGGAGTAAGAATGTTGAAAGGGGTGACACTGACCGAGATGCGTTGTATCCACAACTGCTTTGTTAATTAAAATTGATTAAAGATAATTAACTTTTAAAAAGAATACAAACACTCTTACTCAAAAGCTTTGCTCACCAGAGTATGCCAGGTGTAAGGAAGATAGCAAGTGAATTTTTTTTCTCTTAAATGACAAAACAAGGCCTATTCTAAATGTGCTGTTTTTTTTTAATTACATGATCAGTTATCTTCTGGTCTGCTTTCATAATTTCAATCAACTTTTTTTCTAATAATTAGAAGCTGTACTGTGTGATAATACTAGTGGGTATGATAACATATTAATCATCTATATTTATAAAATCTACATGTTATTTGTTGATATCTGGCTTAGAAATTTAGACTACATACTTAAATTTCATGTTATCACATTATCTTTAAATCTGCAATTAACAACAGAGCAGTGCACATTCTAATACAGATTGTGCTTTTGCCAAGATGATGATTCCAGGTCTTCCATAACAGGTTGATTCATTATGCTCATAAGCAGTTCTGCTTCCTGTGATTCCTACAAATATTATCATTTTTCTTTGTGTACCATTCTGCAGAAAAATTGTGACTCACTTCTATAAATGGTATATCACTGCAATAAGTATGCTTTATCACAATTCTTTACCTTCAATTTCATTTTAATTATAAAAGTCATTCAGCAGACATTCTCAAAAGAAGCCCTCATGAGAAGCAGGGACAATTGAATTATCTGGATTATTATTAAAGTTTATAGAATATGAATACTTAATAGACATACTTCTTATGTTTTCTTTCTTTCCTCCAGTACAAGTAAAAATTTGCCCATCATGTCAACAGACTCTGTGGAAATTGATGATGGATTATACAGGTAAGAGCCACATGGATACTGAAACCTTTTTTTTCTTCTCTGGTCGTCATTCTCAAGTAATGGGTAGTCTATTTGAAGATACCATTAGGGCATAGGAAGAATTGTGTGTGTGTGTGTGTGTATGTATTTATATATTTATATATCTGGAGTTTCATTAACTTTTTGGGAAAATATATTTTCTAGGTATAGGATTCCAGGTCAACAATTTAGAATGTTCCAGAGTTTTGATTTGCATAGCTTCTGGGATAAGGTCAACTAGTAACTCGTTCCTTCATTTTCCTGTACATAATGTTCTCTTTCTAGCCACCTAAAACTTTTCTTTTTGTTGGTCACAGGGCTTGAACTCTGGGCCTGTGTGCTGTCCCTGAGCTCTTCAGCTCAAGGTGAGCACTCTACCACTTGAGCCACAGCCTGATTTTCTGGTGGTTAATTGGAGATAAGAGTCTCATGGACTTTCCTGCCTGGGCTGGCTTTAATTTGGGAAGTTTCGTTGCTATAACTTCAAATTCTCTTTGTAGTCTCAATTCCTTCTAGTTTTTTTTGTTTGGTTGGTTGTTCCGTTTGTTTGTTGACTGGGCCTGGGCATTGTCCCTGAGCTTCTTTTGCTCAAAGCACTTTACCACTTGGACCGTAGCACCACTTCCAGCTTTTTTGGTAATTTTTTGGAGTCTCAGACTTTGCTGCCCCTGGCTGGCTTCAAACTGTGGTCCTCAGATCTCAGCCTCTAGTGTAACTAGGGTTACAGGTGTGAGCCACAAGTGTCCAGCCCAGTGTATTGTTAATCAACGATTTTGCATTTTTTTATGCCCAGAAAGTTTGTTGGCTTATACTTCTCTCTACCTTTTTTATCATAGTTATAATTCTTATTGATCCTATTTATAATAGTTGTGGTCTTTGTCTTCTCAAGATCTATTATCTATGACATTTATAATTATACCTATTGATTTACGTTTTAGTATAAATTTTTATTTTCCTGTCTTTTTCATATAGCTAGTAATTTACACTTGGAGTGCTGAATAATTTTTAATTTTTTAAAATACTGAGCTTGCTCAGGGACATAGTTAAGTTACTTAGAAATAGATTGTTTCTTTCACAGCTTGCTTTTCTGCTTAAGACCAGTGAAAGCTTAAATTTAGAGCTAATTTTTTTCTCCACTACTGATGCAATACCCTTCTGAATATTCTTTCCAATGCCCTTTATATTCTAAACGTTTTCTGCTTGACTAAAAAGGAACACAAAACTTTACCAAATGTATTTAAGTACCAGACAGGTAATTCTTTGAGGTTGTTTACTCCTGTGTATGTACTAATACCTTCTCAGCTGACAATTGAAGAAAAATCCTCTGAAGCTCTCTAGTATGCTTTCTGCATCTCTCTACTCTCTGATATATCAATTTTAAATCTTAACTTTCTTCAATCTACAGATGTATCATTAACTCAAGACCACCAAATTCAGTCTATAGTTCCCTCCCATCACTGCAGCTGAAACTAAATGTTAGCAAAAATAAGGCTTACATCACTTGAGTTTCTCCCTCTCAGAACTTACTATCTTGAGTTACATATTATCCAGTATCTGAAATCTGTTATTTTCAGTTATTTTCTCCAGTTTTCAGTTATTTAAGGCCAGAGAACAAATCTTAGGTCCCTATTAACCATATTGTGAATATGTTATGTGTCTGTAATGAACCATTGTTTTTTCATACTTTTCCCTGGCCTAGAAGTCTAGGAAACTTACCATCTTGTTTATCAACCATTGAAATCATATTTAATTCTTCAGAATTCAGCTTGGATGAAATTCATTTGTAAAACTTTTCCTCCCTTTCATAATCACTCCTATATTTTATGGTTTCTGTTACTTTTGTATAGTTTATCTTTTAGAATTATTTGATTATCTGTCTCAGAAGCATGTTACTGGTGTTTTGCTAACTATTTTATGTTTTATATTGCTTAATATATAATCTTCTCATATGAAGTTCTTGTGATCACTGTACACAGTGAACTCGGCCAATGCTTGACCAAAATCAGTTTTAATAAATATATGTACAAATAGGCAAGACAATTGGAGTACATCCAGAAGAAAGTGATGAGAAGATTAAAGGTGACTTAAAATGATGCCATATTTGGAATTAAGGAATTGGGGTTATTGACCTTGAGAAAGAACACTGGATTCTGAATACCAAAATGTTCAGAGAGTTGTTACATCAAAGCGAAATTAGATTAGTTTTCTTTGGTTCCAAGGAGTTAATCTAGGACTAGTAGATAAAAACTATAGAGAAACATTATTCTTTCAAAAAAGGGAGAGATTTTCTTATCTAGGGCTTTCTGAAAAGAAACAAGCCTTAGAGATTTCTTCATACTGGCTGTATTCATTAATGTGTGGCATGGCTATTTAATGTCGGCTATAATGTGTTACTCTGATGGTGTTACAGTGAGTTGCACTAGGTCATTAGGAATGCACATAAAAGATGATCCACCATTGTCTAGACAAAATGAAGGATTAAAGGAAGTATCATAGGAAAAAGTAATGTATAAATTAAGACCTAACAGACAAATATTCTATCAACCAAAGGGATTAGGGATTTAGCTCAGTGGAAGAGCATTTGATTGGCAAGTGCAAGGTCCTGAGTTTGTGTCTTGGCTCTGCCAAAAAAAAAGACAACAACCAGCCACTGCAGTAGCTTGAGAACTGTCATTAAATGGGCCTAAATAGTTCCATAGTTGTACAGATGTTGGTTCTCTTTCAACATCTGTAGACAACATAGAACATTTTGAAAACTGCAAATCTTCAGTACACCTGAAACCTAATAATGAACTGAAAGACAGAAACAAGAGCTAGTTTATTAGTGATCTTGTGACTAATACTCAAGAATTTGGACTACCCTATGGGAAATAGGAAAATATTGTGCTTTTTAAAGCAGGAAAAGTGAATAAGTTGATCAGATTTATACTTCAGAAAGATTATTTTCCTTAGTAGGAAGTAAATACATAATAATGAAAAAGAACCTCAAGTAATCTGTTGTTTAGAAATAAGAGTGAAGGCTAAGTATGCAGCTGAGTAGTTAGACCATTGCCTAATATATGAAAGGTTCTGGGTTCAGTAATCAACCTACAAAAGGAAAAGAAAAATAAGAGGACAAATGTTAGAAAAAATAGCTAAGACAATTGAAGATGATGGCTCTTTCAAGGAGCAAGAAGGTAGATAGGAAAGAATTTGGTTAAAAAACTGATTGTTAGCCAATGCTGGTGATTAACTTCTATAATCATAGCTATTCAGGAGCCTGAGATCTTAGAATTGAGGTTCAAAGCCAGGCTGATGAGAAAGTACTTGAGACTCTCCAATTAACCACCAGAAAACAGGAAGTAGAGCTGTGGCTCAAAGTGGTAGAATGCTAACCTTGAACAAAAGAGCTCAGGGACAGCACCCAGGCTCTGAGTTCAAGCCCTATGACCAACAAAAAAAGAGTTGGGGGAACTGATTGTTGTATTTGTATAGCCCCTTTTCCCCTCCTTTATAATCTTTATGTAATGATTTGTCTTACTCAGTCTCTCTATTGTGGTATAGTAGTTAAGAGTATAGCTCCTAAAGCTAGACTATCTCATTTAAATTTTTCTAGCTATAAAAATGAAATAATATGTTGAAAAACAAACTTTACAACTTTGATAGGGTGGTAGGGGAGTGTGGGGGTGGGGGTAGAGCGGGGAAGGGATGGTATGGGGAAACAAAAGAGGAGGCAACAATGCTTGGTAAGAAATGTACTCACTGTCTTGCCCATGTAATTGTAACCCCTCTGTATGGCATTTTCACAATAATTTTTTTAAATGGAATAATAATACAAACTATATCACAGAATTTCAGTAAAGTTTAAATAAGTTCAGGTAAAACACTTAAAGCAATAATGCATAATTTGAATGGTATCTATTACTGTTATATGTCAACCAATAGGTGCTAGATATGAAAATATGTAAATTTAATACTTATATTAATACTTGTTTATTGAAACGTTTTTACTGATTTAAAAAAAACAACCAGTTGAAAAATCAGCCTAGGTAAAGAAGATTTTCACAACCTGATTATTTACCTAAGGCACATAAGAAGAGTGTTACATCTTAAACAGCTGTTGAATACACATTCTTTTCAAAAAAACTCTTCTCAAGTTACAAATTTTTAACACATATAAGGAATTATGATTAAAAAAAGAAAATAATAAAGGAGTTATCAAAAATCAGGATGCTTTAACATCAAAGTTTACATATTTTAAAAAAGAAACTGACAATGAATTCTTATTTCAGGTAACTAAAAAAAAAGAAAGAAAAGCTTAGAGTATATTTATGAGACTGGGAAACCTTTTGGGAACCAATTATATAGTCACCAACCAAAGATGAGCCCTGTAACCTGATCTTCTTCTGAAGATCAGGCCTACATACTAAAGATATTAAACTCTTAAGCGCTTCCATACAGTGTGCCATACTTTGGAAAAACAGTTTGACATCTAATAGAATTGATTTTGTAGCTAGCATTGGTGGCCTATAATCCTAGTTACTCAGAAGGCTGAGATACGAGGATTATGATTCAAAGCTACCCAGGCAGGAATGTCTAAGATTCTTACCTAAACTACCAAAAAAGCCAAAAGTGGAGCTGTGGCTCAAGTGGTAGAGTGCTAGCCTTGAGTAAAAGATGCTCAGGCACAGTACCCAGTCCCCGAGTTCAAATGCCAGTATCTGCACACGCATGCATAAAAATTGAAGATGTACGGATTCTTCTGCTCCACATATTCCCTCCTAAGGATACACACTAGAGAAAAAATTGTAAAGATACGCCAAAAGACACAACTGCCTATAGTCTCATTATTTGTAACTATTCAAAGCTGTGGAATAGCAAAATTATGGTTTATCTGGTATATTGATATATATGGTATATTGTGGTATAATATGGTATACCTTTTGACTATATATTTAAATGTTGCAGTTTGAAATGAAAATTACTGACCAGTTGCATTCATCCATCTCAGTAAATCTCATAAATACAATTTCATTCAAAATAAACACATTAAAGAAACACAAGACACAAACAGGCAGAAACAGGTAAAACATACTTCAATAGATATTTGATAAGTATTTTATTAATAACTCTGTAGTTTACTTCCTAAAACAAATCTTGAATAGTGAGTGAAAGAGAAAAGTGTACCTTCCATTATTTTGCTAGTGAACAAGTGAAGAAATAGCAAGGGTAGCTTGATATATAGTTTAGGCAAAGAACATTTTTCTTAGGCTTTTAAATTGAATATAGAATTCTTAAATATGGAAATTAAAGACCAGTTTTTTAAACAAGCGTACAATAAGTGTGTAATAATACACACTTATACAGTGGTTTCTGAAGTTATTTGTTGCTTATACTAATTCATTTTTCAAATTATTTTTATAAGAATTTATTAGAGCTTATACTATCTTGGGTAGATCATCAAGTTTTTCATAGTTCATTCAGATAAACTCTTCCTGAACTTTAAATGAACCAGATTTTACCTCATAAATTCTGCTTGTATTGAAAGTTTTAAGGTAAAGATAGGAAATTCAAATATCTGTAATAACCATTGAGTAATACATGCAAGGAGCAGGAAGAAATGGAAACCTGGTAAATTATATCACATGTCCCCTCCCTATGTAGAGATGCATCCATTCTATTCAGTACAGTTGGTTGCCTGGAGAGAATGTGAATTGTGGAGTCAGATTATCTAAATTTCAAAATACTAATTTGGAAATTTTTTTAACACCATACAGATGATGCAAAACAACTCTGGGCAGATCTAGTGAATAATGTTTTAGTTTTCAGACAATCTTATGGATTATATATAATTTTGACAAAATAATTCCGTTTTTTTTCATTGTGTTATAGTCGACAGAGGTACGTTCTTGGAGATACAGCAATGCAGAAGATGGCAAAGTCCCGTGTTTTCTTAAGCGGTATGGGTGGTCTTGGTTTGGAAATAGGTAAGTAGTAATTGAGTAATAATTCATGTAACACTTTTGTAACATAATTTAAATTTATTTCCTATGAAGGAAATTAGATTCACACCCTTGGTCAGATTCAGTTTTCACTTTCATGGTAATGACATGATCTTCTAGAAGGAAGCAATAATGCCTTTTATTCTATATTTTATGATAATAGTAGTTATTCATTAATAACTATTCTGTATATTAATGACTATTCTGTATATTCATTAATTTGTTAGGGTAGAACATACAGTTAAAACATTTGGAAGACTACACTAAAATTTTAAGAATAGTTATCTCCAGGTGGTATAATTAAACAAAGTTTTTATTTTCGTTTGTCTATATTTCTACCTTTTTAAAAATAAGGCATTTATTTCTTTCTTTTTTTTCTTTTTTTTTTTTTTGGTTGGTCGTGGGGCTTGAACTCTGGGCTTGGGCGCTGTCCCTGCATTCTTCAGCTCAAGGCGAGCTCTCTACCTTGAGCCACAGCGCCATTTCCGGTTTTCTAGTGGTTTTTATTGGTGATAAGAGTCTCACAGACTTTCCTGCCTGGGCTGGCTTTGAACTGCAATCCTCAGATCTCAGCCTCCTGAGATCTGGCATGAGCCACCGGCGCCTGGCTAGGCATTTATTTCTTGCAGCTATAAAAAATGTTAGTTATCCTATAATGATGACTAAGCTCCATAAAGCCATATCTAATTTGGATTCCTACTGTTTTTTTTTCTTTGTTTGTTTTAATTTTATTTTTTTAAGGTTTTTTTTTTATTGTGAGAATACTGTACAGAGGAGTTACAATTACATGGGCAAGATAAGGAGTACATTTCTTATCAAGCATTGTTGCCTCCTCTTTGTTTCCCCTTCCCATCCCTTCCCATACTCCCCCTTCTCCCCCTCCCCCCACCAAAGTTGTAAAATTCATTTTTCGATATAACGACTTGTACATCTTATTGTTGCATTGGGTCCACCTGTATCCCTAAAAGATTTGTTTTTTCCCTTCCCCTCCACAAATTATAACAACACCAAATACAGTGAAAGCATGGGTTACACCGTGGGGGAGGGACATACAAAGCAACATAGAAATCATCTTATAAATATGTTAGAAACATTGCGTGAAAAGAAAAAAAACAAAAAAACATTTAAATACTTATCTTGGGGTTCATTCCCCTAACATCAACTTATCTGACCTTTTCTGGTTGGCTCAGACATATACTAATTACTGCAAATAAGGGAAACCATGGGGCCTATGTTTCTTTGGGCCTGGCTTACTTCACTTAATATAATTTTTTTCCAAGTCTTTCCATTTCCTAACAAATGGGGCAGTGTCATTCTTTCTGACGGAAGCATAGAATTCCATTGTGTATATATACCACATTTTCTTGATCCATTCATCTACTGAGGGGCATCTGGGTTGGTTCCATATCTTAGCTATGGTAAATAATGCTGCAATAAACATAATTGTGCTGGTAACTTTAGTATGGTCTGGATTCCTACTGGTAAGTTATACCTTTTTTCTCTTTCCTTTATAGCAAAGAATCTTGTTCTTGCAGGGATTAAAGTAAGTATGTCTTTACTATGAAAACTTGGCAGAAATTGTTTTGTTTGTGCCCATTTATAGTGATAATATTGTTCACCCTTGAGCTTATTGTTTCTTTATTTTATACCAAAATTATTTTAATACTGTACTATTCCCTTAAAAAAATATCTGGAAATGTGAAACATGCATGAAAGTGTTTTCTTTTTGAGATAGTGTCTTGCTTGTATTATGATCCTTTATATTAAGTTCCTGCTATAGCTGAGCCAACTTTTTCTGTTGAGTTTAGATCATATAACCTTTTTTCTCTAACTGGCCTAGATCCTCTATCTTCCCAATTTTAGCTTCCTGAATACCTAGAATGACAGGTGTAACCCCCTCTGTGCCGAGCTATTGGTTGAGTTAATAAACTGGAAGCCTTACTTTCGACTCACCTCTCAAGTAGGTAGGATTGTAGATGTGAACTACTAGCACCTGAACAACCACCAACTGATTTTTATGTAAATCTCAGACATTATATTATATAACCTTAACTATTATTGATTATATCCCTTAATAATCATTGTCTAGATTTAAGTATTTAATTAGGAGCAGTAGTAATAGTCTACCATTCTTTCCTCATTTATTAGCTGGAATAACATTTTAGAAAGAAAGCGTTCCATTTTTCATTTGATTTCACAAAAGTATAGACTATAAATGTACAAAAGACATGATAAATACTTTTATTTTCTCCTTTGTTTACTATCTTTCAAAAATCAATGACTAATGAATTGACTCTCTGCATGTATTTATGTTGTATGTACATGTATATACATGTCATGATGTATTCACAACTTGTGAATCCACGCAGTCCATGAAGTATTAAATACATTTTATATGTTTTGATTCATTCTGATTCTAAAATTTTTCCATTTTTGGTTATTAGCATCCTGAAGTTTTAGAGTCTTTTTAATAGCTCCTGTAGTGTTTCTAAGTATAAAGTCTTGTTGATGAGCAGAGCTAGAACATTCATCATGAGTAAGTTCACAGATTTCTGATTTTCTTTTCTTTTTTTTTGGTCGGTTGTGGGGCTTGAACTCTGGGCTTGAGCTCTTCAGCTCAAGGCTAGCACTCTACGAGTTGAGCTACAGCTCCACTTCTGGTTTTCTGGTGGTTTATTGGAGATAAGAGTTTCACGGACTTTCCTGCCCAGGCTGGCTTTGAACCTCGATCCTCAGATCTCAGCCTCCTGAGTAGCCAGTATTACAGGCATGAGCCACCGGCGCCTGGCAGATTTCTCATTTTCTAAATGTAGGATTACAAAATGTTTCTAAAATTTCAAATTCACATTTGGTATTATTTTTGGCTTTATATTTTTATCTTTTTTTTCCTTACTCTGTCTTAAATCATAATGCTATGAACTAATTACTTGTCCTACTTTATATACAATAAAACATAGTTTCAGAATAACAACTTCCATATTATTAATTACAGAATGTTATTAGGAAGAAAATGTAGTTTTTTCCTCTTGTTTTAGAATCTATACAAATTTGGCAGACAACTGCTTTTTTAAGTCACTCTAATTCTTCTGGGTATCCATGTAAAAACTCAGTAAATAGTTTAGTCCATTCATTCAGATTTGGATTTTTAAGGATTTTTTAAAAAATTTAATTATGTGAGGCTTATCCAAATTTATAAAACATAACATTTTGTATCTTTTCAAGAATGTCTTCAGAGTAGATTCTGAAAAGTAGGATTACTGTGTCAAAGCATGCTTACTTGCTAGAAATTGCTAAGATCCTTTCTGAAAAGGTTTATTCACTTCACATTAACATTAGTAATTTATAAGTATGGCTAATTTACATGATTCTTTAGTGGAGAATGTTGTCAAATTTTTGGACCTATGTCAATTTACGTAGAGAGAAATATATTTAATTCCAGAGTGAGATTAAATGTTTTTACTTATCAATTTTTTCAGTATATTCATTATAAAAATTAATTTTGCTTATTTTTTCATAAAGTTTGTGGCCTTACATGAGTTATATGTGTTTTTTCTAATTTGTTGGTTAATTTTATTAATTGGATGGTGGAGTTATTTAAAATGTTTATTCATTTTCTGAAATTTTGTATGGCATTTTTAATGACAATACTTTTATCAACTTAAAATATCTTACTATGTAGATTTTCTTACTATCAATATATTCAGGATTTTGATACACATATCTGTATAATGAGCTAGTTTTTATAACCTTTTAGATTTTTTTGTATTCTTTTTTGTCCTGTTTATTCATTTATCTGTCTGTGGGAAAGTAAGAGAGGCGCAGAAATGGAAGGACAAAAGGCAGAAGAACAAATGCAGCAGTGGTACTCACTGGACACTGTGTTGAAAATTAATCCTTCTAGATTCTTATGCCTGTAATTTTTCGTTTACACAAAATATTCCAGTACAGTGTAAGATACGTCTTTATGCTATTCTAGATTTTAACAAATATTTTCCTTTTTTCGAAGGCACTTACAATTCATGATACAGAGAAATGCCAACCATGGGATTTAGGAACCAACTTCTTTCTCTGTGAAGATGATATTGTTAATGGAAGAAATAGGTAAAGATACTTTAATACATTACCATAAGATTTTTTTTAAACTCAAATTATTCAGAATATTCTTTATCCAAACACCAGTTCAATTCTAGTAGCCTAAGTGATCACACCTTCACTAAACGAAAGCTTAAGTATTGGCAATTAATTATTTGTCAAATTTTGATATATTTGCACGCTGGCACATAGAAATCAATTGCTTTGCAGTTACTAAAGGAAATGTTCAGTATTACAAAATCATTAAAAGACTTGGAGATCTTCAAACTTGGATACGTGGAATTGTGTGGAATATGACAGTGCATCTTAATATTTCATACTAATTTTTAAATTTTCCTTAGGGCTGACGCTGTACTTTGCCATATTGCAGAACTAAATCCATATGTTAATGTATCATCATCTTCTGTTCCTTTCAATGAAAACACAGATCTCTCCTTCTTAGAACAATACCAGGTTAGTACGTCATTGCATTTTAAATATTACTAATACCTACCATGACAATACAGCAAAATTAGTGTAACCTCTGGTGTGTTGAGGAATAGAATACAAAAATTCAAATTAGAACACTTATTAGATAATGCAAACAAATGTTCCTTTTTAGGGAAAAACCCAAATAACTACTAAATACCAGTTGGTTATTTTGACAGTAATATGCATAAAGAACTACCTGAAACTGAGAACTGATTATAATAACAACGCATACATATTTCTTCCTTTTGCATCGGCATGTCAGCTGGGGACTTGGCTGCTCTAGGCTCAGCTTAGCTAGAATTGAACCCCAGAATCTAGATTCTGATTGTGTGTCACATCTGGGACCAGATTACAAAGTTTGTGTCCTTTGGCAGTAACAGAAACACAAAAAGGCAAGACCAACCACTGAAACATGTTTAACATGTCTCTTCCATTAATGTTTCATTAGCCAAGGCAAGTCAGATTATCAAGCCAAAGTCAAGAACAGGAAAATACACGCTTTCTAAGAAGTTATGTAGGATATTAAGGATTCTTTCTATTATGAAGCCTCTGGTAGTAAATGAATTCAAAGTGAGCAGTTTTCTTTCAAATGTGTTATTTTTGTTTTTGTCATTTTTTACTTCTAAAGGATAAGTTGTGTTTTACCAAAATAATTGTGCATTTTTATTTCTTTTATTCTCATCAGTGTGTAGTATTGACTGAGATGAAACTTACATTACAGATGAAGATCAATGACTTTTGCCATTCTCATTTCCCTCCAATTAAGGTAGTAGTATTTAATACTTAAGTGATATGCTCTTAAAATTTTTAGCTATTTATTGAGTTTATGTAAGAAGTTCTATTTACGTAAGGGCAGTTACGAGATTTTTCCATTCAATTTGGGTATAAGTATCATTTTTTATTTCTAATCTAGTATTTAAGTTTGTTTTTTAAGCAATATGCCAAAATTAAAGAAATAAAGGCTATAACTGAAAAAGATGATAAATATATGATTCCTCTAACTTTAAGCATTATTATATCATTTGATGAATATTCATTATATGTACTTAGCAGGGCAAGCATATTTTCTTAGTTATGTATAAGACTAGCAAATAAATACGTGATATATTTTTTAATAATTTTATTTCATATGAAAACATAATTGAACAAAGAATAAAAAACTTGAATGAAGTTGGTAAACAGGCTGATGCCATTTCTGTTCAGTCAGAAAGTTTGGGAAGTTCTTTCTGAGAAGATACTTGAATAGTCTCCTGAAAAATGAGAAAGAACCATCTATGGTTGGATCTGAGAACAAGCATTCAAAGCAAAGGGATTAGCAGATGTAAAAACATGTATAAAACTTACTGTGGTATGTTTGAGCAGCACAAGGAGGTAAGCTCAGCATCAGAATGGAGTTGAAAAAGTAGAAGTAAATGATACCAGGTCAGAGAAGAGGTAGAGTACCGTATCCCATTTCTGAGATTTGAGTCTCAAGCTTGTGAATTTTTATGTGATTTGTATTTTTAAAAGATCTTGCTGTATGTAGAGAAGACTATAGCAACAGTTTTCAAAGTGGTCTGAGTACATTTTTGAGAATACATAGAAAATACCTCCTTTAGGAGTATTACAAAATTCCCTTTGTACTCTACTCCTCTTACAAAGAATGGTAGATTTTCCAAGAATCTATAAAATGTGTGCTCTGATAGCTTGGGGAAAGTATTTGTGTATTCTTGTATTTTAAATTTTTCTATTTTAATTTCTAAGTCAATATATATTAGTAAATATAACATTAACAAAAGCCCTTCAGATTCAAGAAGGAAGTGGTCATGTAAGATCTACAAAAGAAAAAGAGTTTGGGGGGTATAAAGGTAGAGGCAACTAGACCAGTTAGGAATTAACTATAGTTAATAGTGACTTCGGTATAAAGGGAGAGAATAGAGAAAAGAAATGGTTGAATTTTAAGTATATTTTGTTGTTTTTGTCTTTATTTTTCAAAAAGATTAAAGAGCTTTCAAATAGTCTTTGTTTAATATGTATAAAATGAGATGTCTAATAGGAGTTGAGATCATTTTGATGAAAATGTTTTTTTTGGTCCAAATACTACTCTATTTTTTTCTTTATTAGTAGTACTTATGGTAATAGTTTTAAGCACAAAATATTGTCTGCAATGTTTTGGAAAAGAGGAGAAAGTTTTGTTCAAAACTTTTCGTAAGGGCTGGGAAGATGGCTCCGTGGTAGAGCGCTTGCCTTGCATGCATGAGGCCCTGGGTTCGATTCCTCAGCACCACATAAGCAAAAAGAAAAAAGCTAGAAGTGGCGCTGTGGCTCAAGTGGTAGAGCGCTAGCCTTGAGCTGAGGAGCTGAGGGACAGTGCCCAGGCCCAGATTTCAGGCCCCATGACTGAACCCAAAAAAAAAAAAAATTTTTTTTATAAAACATTTGTGATGTATTAATCTCATTTTTCCCTTTCATGACTGATTTGCTAATTCAGTTCCTCAGACTTTATATAGACTGCTCATTCCTTTTTTTTTTTTTCCCAGCCCTGCTCTTTGCTTTTCCAAAGCTGCATTCTATTGTTTTTTTCACTATTAACTCTACCTCTTTTGGTGAATGGACATGCCCATTTATTGTTCTAAAATAACAAGAATTCACTTCAGTATTGAAACAAGATAATTGTTTTATATATATTGTGATTGTGTTTTATGTTGAGGCTAGACAGTTTGTTTTTTTTTTAATCACAAAACATACAATGAAGATAATTGATACTAATAGTTTCTGCCTAAATACTAACTAGGCCCAACCCTCCTTAGATTCCTAGATCAGATGAAATCAGGTACATTCCAGCTGGGATAACAGTATACCTAGGCTCTTCTAATGTTCTTAAACTAAATCTCCATTCACCAAATATAAATCCTTTGATTTTTAAACTGATTCATAGACAATTTATCCTATTAATGTATTCCAAAGGATATATACTTACATAAAAGGACTTAACGATAATTGAATTTACTTTTACTTACATAAGAGGACTTAAGATAATTTTCTTCATATAAATAAGATGACATCTTTTTGCTGTTTTACAGTTCATTAGTGCAGATATACATGGAATTTGGTCACGGTTGTTTTGTGATTTTGGTGATACATTTGAAGTTTCAGATACAACAGGAGAAGAATCGAAAGAAATTTTCATTTCAAACATAACGCAAGTATGATTATATTAATGAACTTTGTATAAAAATCTAAGTGATTTTAGCAAAATGCTATAATAAGCAATTTTAAGATAATGTGAATATTTATAATTTCTTAAACATTTTCATTCTTTTGACTATATTAGGATTAACATAAAATTAGATTATTAAGAAACTTCTGAATTCCTTCTAACATTATTACAGAACAACATTTGCTTGACATAAATTTTAATTTCAGTTTTGTTCTGTATAATATTCCTAAGAGACTTGAGTTGTGATTCACTGTTTATGAATGTTTGCAATGTCAGATCATGTACTACTGACTATATCCTAAAAATACATTAAACTCATTACAGTCTTTTCTAATCTGTTACCTTTCTGAAGCCATAGAAGGTAGAAAAGGTTTAAAAATGTGATCATCTTCAAGTAAAACAAAATTGGATTTTCTAGCTATACACTCCTACTTTCATTTTAAGCTTAATTGTTTTTATTCCCTAAAGGAACTGAAGAAATGTTTTTATTATTTTTTCTTTGTTTAGCGTAAGTAGCTTACCTTATTTGTACTCTTTATTGTAAAAGATCACAAAAAACAAATACAAGGGGATGATAATATATTTTGACATAATAGTAGTGGTGCTTCTGATTTTATGATCTATTTTAAAATCCCATGTTAAGCATTATTTTAAAATTCATTGTGATACTATTCTTAAGCCTTTTTAAGAAAAATTCAGTGAAAGGACATTTTGCGTATCTTTCTGCGTACTGCATTTTTTAGGTATATTATTGCTCAGTCAACATTTTATCTTCTGTTGGTTTTTGTTTTGTCACTAAGATTGACACAGTGTTTGGATAAACTCAGCAATTGAATGGATTCATGTATTTTATGGAATTTCTCTTGTGTAATATTGTAAGAAATAAGCTAATAAACCCTGGAATATTTCTTTAATTGTTGGACAAGCTGTATACTGATAGAGTCCCCTCTTTAATCCCTCCTTCATATATTTCTTTGATTTTCAAAGTTAGGCTCTTTTTTACAGATTTTTTTTTCCTAACATGACTGTAAAACATATTCAATAACTTGAAATTTATTTTAAAAGTCACAAGAATCTCTGAATCTATGAAATATTTGAATCTTCTTTGTGGATTTCATGAAAATCTCTTACTAAACAGGAGATTATATCTCATTCAATTTAAAAAGTGGTAATAATTTGATGATTATTTTTTGATAGTTTTAAGAAGGCTTGCTTTTACTAATGAAAGAAAAGAATGGCTTGGAATATTGGTTTGAAAATTTTGTAATGTTTTTGTGTGTGTGACAGAACTTGTACCAATAGAATGCATGAACTTGATTTTTTAATACATTTATTTTTAGGCTGATCCTGGCATTGTCACTTGTCTTGAAAATCATCCTCACAAACTTGAAACAGGACAGTTTGTAACATTTCGAGAAATTTATGGAATGACAGGTTTAAATGGATCTATACAACAAATAACTGGTAACTTTCTGTGGTTTATTTAAATATAGTTATACAGCACATTTATAATTCAGACACTATTTTGTGTTTAAAAAAAACTACTCAAATTCAGCACACTTCATCCACAGCTCTTGGCCTCAAAACATTCAGTTGTAGTCAGGATGCATTAAAAAGTGATGTTATTAATAAAGTACAGGCATTCTTAGAATTCCATATCCAGCAAGCACACTTACCTAGTTTTAGGAACTCAGTACTGAGGTCAGGGTGTTTGAATTCAAATCAGCGGTTGCATTGCTTAGGAAGGCGTTAAGAAAAAGAGTATGCTTTCTTGTTCTGAAGTTGCCTGCGCAGATACAGTTGCTTATCTAACAATGTTTCTTCTAAAATGTCCTAAGACTCTTGTAATTTTTTTTTGGTCCAGTCATGGGGCCTGAACTCTGGGCCTGGGCGCTGTCCCTCAGCTCTTCAGCTCAAGGCTAGCGCTCTACCACTTGAGCCACAGCGCCACTTCCTGCTCTTTTTCTTTTCTTTTTGCTTATGTGGTGCTGAGGAATCGAACCCAGGGCCTCAGGCATGCAAGGCAAGCGCTCTACCACTGAGCCACCTTCCCAGCCCTAAAAACACTTTTTTTGGTTCAGTCGTGGGGCCTGAACTCTGGGCCTGGGCGCTGTCCCTCAGCTCTTCAGCTCAAGGCTAGCGCTCTACCACTTGAGCCACAGCGCCACTTCCTGCTCTTTTTCTTTTCTTTTTGCTTATGTGGTGCTGAGGAATCGAACCCAGGGCCTCAGGCATGCAAGGCAAGCACTCTACCACTGAGCCACCTTCCCAGCCCCAGACTCTTGTAATTTTGATTCTCATGCCAGCTCTACCTTAGTATATGAGTTCTGTCTTGAATATGAGACTTTCTGTTTGTCTTTGAACAGAAAATAATAATAACAATAATAATACAATAGAACAGTTTATAAATTCTATCTTTAAGTTTTTTAGTACTTGTTTAAGATCATTTGCTATTATGTTTCAGAAACAAGAAAGGTAAGTGCTTAGCATTTAAGACCTACCCACTTACTGATCACAGGTATCTTGCTGGTTTAGTTTATTGTATACCCCTCCAAGGTTTCCTTGGTTTTTATTCAGTAAATAGCATATCATAAGTACTACTTCCCCTTTACCTTTTCATTAAGTAAATACGTTGGTCATTTTTTTCACATCAGTGATCACAAAGCAACATTTTTTACAGCTGTGTATTTTATTATATAAATGAAAATGTTACTAGGACATGTTTTATTTGCGTTTTTATTCTTTCAGTGAGATTATCCTGTTTTAGGGCTATGTGTTTTTAATGTGTGCCATCTGTGTTTTGCTATTGTCTCATTAATTGTTGTTAGTAAATAGAGCGTATTTTTTAAGAGTTTCTTGAGTGGCAAATACTCTTAATTTTGTCATTTTGCTTTTGCTTTATTTTTTTCTTCCAATTTTCTTCCTTAGTTTTATGTAATAAACTTGTCAGTCATTTTTATCTTTTGAATATTTTAAGAGTCTCCTCAGGTATTAAAGGAATTGTTTTCTCATGTTTTTACATTAAATTTGGGGCATTTCATTTTGATATTTAAAACTCATCCATTTGGAATATTTTCCCAGGTGATTTTTTTTTCCACAAGACACATTGAATGATCTTAAACTTTTTCTCAGTTTATTATTTTATTTGCTGCCTTTATTGTGTTTTTATTTGTTTTTGTTGGTGGGTTTTTTGTTTTTTGCCAGTCCTGGGGCTTGAACTTGGGGCCTAAGGTCTATCCCTGTCTCCTCTTGCTCAAGGCTAGCACTCCACCACTGAGCCACAGTGCCACTTCCAGCTTTTCTATGATTAATTGGAGATAAGAGTTTTATAGACTTCCCTGCCCAGGCTAGCTTCAAACCGTGATCCTCAGATCTCAGCTAGGTCCTGAGCAGCTAGAATTACAGGCACAAACCACAGGCACCCAGCTATATTTTTGAATTCTCTATTCCTTTTATCTATTTAAGAGTTTGTATCATAACTATATTAGTTATGTATAAGTAGAATCAGCGTATTATTTGGGCTTTAATTTTAATAAGTACTATTTTAACTTAAATATGTAGTAAATACTGCTCTTTTCATTTTAATTTTTAGTAAGTAGTACTTCTCTTTTAATTTTAATTTGTAGTAGCTGCTACTTCCCTTTTTTTCTCTTGAGTTTTCTTGCCTATTTTAAGTCCTAAAACTCACACTGGAAAATATCCTCATCATAACATTCCATATCTTTCAAAATATCAACACTAAAATCTTTTAAATTTTGTAAATTAGAATAGCTTTATGGCAGTAACTCTTTAAATTTAAATGCCTTTGTATCTCTGTATAATGATCTTATTTTTTTTTCTAGTGGTATCACCATTTTCTTTTAGTATTGGTGATACAACACAACTGGAACCATATTTACATGGAGGTATAGCTGTACAAGTTAAGACTCCCAAAACATTTTGCTTTGTAAGTACTGCTTAAGAAATATTTAGTGGTTATATAACTATAATCTCTTATATACCTTTGTAATAAACAATTAACGAATTAAAAAGAAAAAATATTTAGTGGGAAAATAACCTAATGAAAAAGGATTCAACAATTTACATAAAAGCTAAACAGCTTTTGTTGTTTTAAATTTATACACACTACTAGGAAAATGGAATTAAATAAACTGATTCTTAGGAAAATACAATTTATAGGTAGGGAGAGATAGCTCATTGGCTGATGCTTGCCTCCCTGTATGTAAAAGCCCTTTTTCAATCCCCACTACTATGAAACAGAATGCAGAATATCACATGCATATAATTGAGATTTGAGTATATTTCAAAAGGAATATAACTTCCCAAATTTTGTCATACTTACTATTTACTTCCTAAAATAAGAAACAAATATATTTTCAAAAGATTTATCAAGGTTTATCTTGCTTATTGTTTTAAGCCTCCAGGGATATTTTCTTCATGTATTTTAGTTAATCCGGATTTGGGATTTTAAATTTCAGAAGCCTATGTGTTTAAAATGTAAAGGGGAGAAAGGGTTGCTGAATAGAGAGTAGAGACTACTTGTGTCCTGGGACTAAGGAACCCTTAGGCCACTTCTCAGTGTAACCTATATAACAGGTTTTTGGTTCAGAGTTGTTGTTAGAGGTTTATTTTTCCTCCAGAGTGGTTGGGACTGTTATCCTTTCCAAACCAATAGAATAGCCTATCAGATCTGTTCTTGTATCCTTTCTTTTGCTTGCCCTGTTCCCAGTTTTAGATTGTTTATTCTCCTAGTATTTCAGATTGAGTATGTATTTTTCAGGTTTTTCTTGGTTTTGCCTTTGTGTTCTTTTGTGTACACACTCACAGAAGATTTTAACAATGAATATCTGTTCAAGGTTTACTTGATCCTAGAAATAAATGAAGTATAAACTTGTTTTCACATGTTCTTATCAAAACTAATTGACTGTGTAGAACAGTTGTTTTTTAGTGATACATTTTATCACTGAAACAAAATTCAGTTAAAACAAGTTAAGACCAGCCTTGTTTATTTTAAGCATTTGTGAAACTCAATTGCTTTAACTGTACTGACACAAAACAGCATATTTGTCAAGTAATCATTAGTTGCAAAGTAATATTTTTTTTCCTATTAGGAACGATTGGAGAGACAGATAAAACATCCCAACTGTCTTATTGCAGATTTTAGCAAGCCTGAGGTAAATAATTTTACAGATTTGAAAAAGGCAGCAGAATGGGGTGGGAGTTGGAGATTTATGGATTAAAATGAAGTAAACACACATACACATACACCTGTTGCAGTTAGGTGTTCTTTTGGGGGGGGGGGTTCTGGTCGTGGGGCCTGAACTCTGGGCCTGGGCGCTGTCCCTCAGTTCTTCAGCTCATTAGCGCTCTACCACTTGAGCCCCAGCGCCACTTCCAGCTTTTTTCTTTTTGCTTATGAGGTGCTGAGGAATAAAGTTGTATTCATCTACCTAAAATTGAGGGATTAAAAACAAGAATTTGTGTCTTGAAAAAGAATGTTAACCCTAGCCTGGTGTCAGGGACTCATACCTGTAATCCTAGCTGCCTCAGGAGGAGGTTTGCAGTTCAGAGCAGCCCAGGCAGCAGAAAGGCAATTGAGACCCTTGTCTCCAATTAGCCACCAAAAAGCCAGAAGTAGACCTATGGTGACGTAGTAGAGTGCGAGCCTTGAGAAAAAATGCTCAGGGGATAGTGCCAAGAACTCTAAACACCTACTGGAAAAAAAATGTTAAAACTAATAGAACAATATTTTATAATGACTTGCTAAGTTTCTTAATTAAAGAATATTTTAAGCCGGGAGCCGGTTTCTTACAGTTGTAATCCTAGCTACTCAGGAAGCTGAGATCTTAGGATCATAGTTCAGAGCCATCCCAGGCTGGAAAGTTCATAAGACTCTTATCTCCAATTAAGCACTAAAAAAACCAGAAGTGGCACTGTGGCTCAAGTGGTAGACCACTAGCCTTGAGCTGAAGAGCTCAGGGACAGCACCCAGGTCCAGAGTTCAAGACCCACAACCGACTCAAAAAAAAAATCAAGAACACTGGTTTACTAAAAGTTTTTCTTAAGGGAAGTTTTTACTTATAGATATTACAAAAGGAAACAAATAAATATACTGTATTGTGTATTTTTAACTATATATAAACTATATTGTGTATCATTTTTAACAGTAACTATAAAAAGAAAATGCAGTCTCATTAAAAAGAATAATCACATGTAAACATTGTGTGACTATTGTTTAATAGATACTGCTCTTCATTTCATATGAATAACCTAGTAGACCCTAGTGGTACCGCTTAAAGAGTTGGGACTTTGGAATAGCTCTTAAAAATACATGCATAGCCTGGCACTGGAGGCTCACGCCTGTAATCCTAGCTACTCAGGAGGCTGAGATCTGAGGATCGCGGTTCAAAGCCAGCCCGGGCAGGATAGTCCGTGAAACTCTTTATCTCCAATAAACCACCAGAATACCGGAAGTGGCACTGTAGCTTAAGTGGTAGAGCACTAGCCTTGAGCTGAAGAGCTGAGGGACAGCACTCAGGCCTGGAGTTCAAGGCCCACGACCAAAAAAAAAAAAAAAAAGCATAACTTTGAAGTAAAGTGATATTTAGTGATAACCATATAGCACTCACTTGTTTATTGTCAGTGTTTATAGATAGTGTTAATAGATAGATAATGTTTGAAAAAAATCATTTAGTACAAAGTCATACAACATTAAGCACTCAATAAATACTGGCAAATCCTTAATGTTCTTAAACAGGCATCCTTGCAGATTCACACTGCTATGCTTGCTTTGGACCAGTTTCAGGAGAACTACAATCGCAAGCCAAGTATTGGGTAATGCTTTTTGTTTCAAAATAACTCTTTTCCTTTTCATTAAAAATGTTGCAGAAATTGCAGATTTAAAATTGGGGAAATAAACTTTCAATACTTACAATTGCAATTCCAGTAAATATGCAGAATCATAAACTTTCATTGAGACTTTCTAGTTTTTGTAGTTTTTTTTATTTATTTTGATTTATAGTTTTGGGGAAAGAGAAGAGGTAATAATAATGAAATAATAGTAAATGGGAATTTTCTTATTTTGAACCCCTTAAAAGCTACAGGTCCGTTAAAAAAAAAACCTGGGAATTACTAGAATATTTGTAATTTTTTTCTTTCCTGTCAAATACTATTATATAATGGTTCTTGCCTTGTGTATTTAAAATTAAATTTTATTTATATACTGTCCTTTGGTATAAGATTATACTTTTGAAGTAATTTATTTATATAACAGTTAACCTTTAAGTCAATGAAAGAAGCACTTGGTGCGATCCATTGGCAAAATTCTGTAATCTTTTATATATATCTTACATTTTAGTTTTTATTGTGACATTGTTTGTGACACAAATGTATTTGAGGTGGTTTCCTTTGAATTGTAGATGTCAGCAAGATTCCGAAGAACTGTTAAAACTAGCAACATGTATAAGTGAAACCTTGGATGAGAAGGTAAATATTCAGTTGTAGTTGTATTAAGTATTGATTTGTAAAAGAAATATTCTATTTTCTATCCTTTAAATCCTATCTTTGCCACAGTTGATTCTGTAAAGCTAAGTGTTTTCACTTTGTTATGCTGTAGTTTATCTATAAAATGGAATAAGCCTATTGTAAACATTAAAGGATTTGGCTTTGTACTTACAATACTTTATAAGATAGGTAATAGTTACTATTTGCCACTACTACTATTAGTATTGCTTTATTTATTCTCGTATTATTTACTTGATTTTTTTCTTAGTTTTATTTGAAAATGTTAAAATCAGAGGGGTGACAATTATATAAATCAGATAAAAAGAGTATATTTCCTTTTGGATAATGTCACTCCTTTCCTTACTCTTTCCCAATTTTTCCCTCCCATCCTACCCACAGTTTGTGTAGTTCATTTTCAACATAGTGTCCGTGAATACCATTGCTGCATTTTTTACCCATTGTCCTTCCATTTCTGTGCTTCCTCTTATACTTCCAAAGACATATGGACAAACAAGACAAAAATTTTTTGGTCTTATTTGATTTACTTGATTTTTTTGTTGTGATTTATTTAGTTGTGGGGGTTTTTTTTAGTTATATTAAAAGTTATGAAACACATTTCACCAAGTCTAGAGATACACAAATATGCATACAATAATTGGATTCAGTTGTCTAGGTCAGAATTGATGAGGCTTGATCCAGAACAGCCCTACAAAGTATAATAAATCTCTGAGTACCTTGTACAAAATAAAGTAAAATGAAGTATCATTTACTTGATTTTTAAATATCATATTTTTGTACATGTCACCTAAAAAATATTTCCTGCATTTTACAATGCCAATATCAGGTAAGATTCATATTTGCAGCTGTCATCATATATTATTGATTGAGGTCTTTATATACTTAATGTTAATTTTGTATATGTGTGTTTTATAGGCTACATGTTTTACAAATCTTCTCTTAAATTTATCTTACCATTTTACTGTGGTTTGTACCCATTTTGTCTTAATTTTTTTATGTATTTTGAATCCTAGGGCTTTGTGCATGTTAAGTGTTTTTATTTTTTACCCAAGGCCACAAAGCTTTTCTCATATTGTTTTTTAGAAATGTTATGATTTCGTAGTTTTTGTTGTAACTACATTTTTATATGTAGATGAGAGCCTTGACTTATGCAATGTATAGATTAAATGTAAACTGCTCTGTTTCCTTTGTTGCTTTTATGTGTGCTGGTACTGGAACATGAACTCAGAGCTGGACACTGCCCTTTAGACACTGCTCAGCCTTGCACTGTACCACTTGAGCCACATCTCCATTTCTGGCATTTTGGTGCTTAATCGAAGATAAGACAGACTTTTCTTGCTTTGGCAAGCTTCAAAACTCAATCCTCACATCTTAGCCTCCTGAGGGTAGCTAGGATTACAACCTTAAGCCACCAGTTCTCAGCTCTTGTATTTATATATGCAAATAAAGTACTTAAACCATTGACCATATTCCTCTTTATTCACACTCTGAGATCCTCCCTTGTCCTCCCCAACAGAGTCTGTTTTATTTTCTTGTATTTTGTGTGTGTGTGTGTGTTAATGGTACTTACATTCATTTATTGAGGATCAACTACTTGGTGTAGTTTTCATTAACATTTGTTTTAATCATTTTTGTTATTTGTAAATATAACTGACTGGTATCACAGCAATGCATTAACGAATACTATGAATCATAGATGTTTGCATTCTAAATGATATCCTAGGCTACAGTGTATACTCAGAAAGCAAAAGTTGGGCAGCCAATGATAAAGGGAATTGTTCTTTAAGCTAATAAGGGAATGTCTTTTTACAATGCGATTGAGAAGTTTTTAGGACTATTTAATATTTATCTACTAGGAAAATCAGTGTTTAAAATGAGTATGTAGTAAATCTGTTAAAATTATTATCTCCTATGGTTTATGTTTCAGGCGGAAGTAAATGCTAACATTGTGCACTGGCTCTCTTGGACGGCTCAAGGATTTTTACCCCCACTTGCTGCAGCAGTAGGTGGTGTTACCAGTCAAGAAGTATTAAAATCTGTGACAGGAAAGTTTTCTCCTTTGTGCCAGTGGGTTAGTTCTATATTTTACCATTTCTTTATATTTTTATATATCAAAAAATAAATATATTACATACTACAATATTCAACAGTATATGTAAAAGTCAATAGTAAAATGTTTGATTTGTGAAAGAATGTTAACAGGTACCTTAATTCTGTAATTGAAATTCCAAAATTTAATTCTGTATCTGAAACCAGCAATGTCATGTTGGGAAATGACCCAAAGTTACCTTTTCAGGTTCATTTCCTCTATGTAGAGGTAATGCACAGCACATGAATTTTTGTTCCATTTAGTTATTTGTTCTCTATTGCTGTTACCTTAGAATTCGTGAACTGGTACTGGTGCTAGGGTGTGAACTCGGGAACCTTTCTTCACTCTTGCTTGGCTTTTTTGCTCCAGGCTGGCAGTATACCTCTTGAGCCACACCTCTACTTCCAATGTAGAACCTTTTAATATGAATCTTTAATCTCCTACCTGGGGATAGAGTTCTAAAAGTAGAAAATATGAATTGTACAGGTTTGAAAAAAGTACAGGATCAAAACATCACAAAGTTGAGGAGGGGCACCCTTCATTTCTGTTACCAGAATGTATCGAAGTGGGTATATTCTTCAGGCCTTTTCTGTTTTGAAACAGTTACTTTGAATGTAATATTCATCATTTTTATAATATCAAAGTGCCTACATGATGCTACTTGGTTGAATTACTTTTTTTTAAATGGAGAATAAAAGTTGTCAGGTTAATTACAACAATTATCATAGGTCAATTATAGGAATATAAATTGTGTGTTATAAATTTATCACCATTGTCAACTTCCAGTTTAACCATACAAGTTACTTAAATTAAAATGAGAATAAAGGGTTCTTTATTTTTTTCATTGAATAAATAATTGTCATGTTTTAAAGAACTTTGAATTTAAGAATGTTGAAATTATGGGTTCCTATAGCGTATGTAGTTACTAATTATATATACTATATCCAAGAACATACTAAGTAGTTTCTACTGAAAAACTAACTTGACTATTATATATAGGTGAAGTTGAATGGGTCTTCCAAAATTTTGATGTAGTTTTGAAAATTATATTTGGAACTTCCTGTTTAAGGTTAGGAAATACCTTCCTTATGATGAGTAACATGCACGTTAACAGTTCATTCAAGTTTTATTACTGTTTTAGTGAAAGAATATTCAAAAATATATTTTATTTTACCTTATACAAACTTGATATTATTTTTACTGAGTAACAGTAGAAATTTTTTATAGTGGTTTAAATTTTATATATAGTAAACTGTGTTTTTAATCTTCTCCTTTTAAGTTATATCTTGAAGCAGCAGATATTGTTGAATCCCTAGGCAAACCTGATCGTGAAGAATTTCTCCCACGGTAATACTGAAATATTGATCTTTTTATCACTTTATAAGGTTTATAAGGGGCAGATATTAAAATTTTTTGTCTAAACATTCATTTATTTTAGATTTCCTTTTTCCCTATTTTGTAGTTGTTATCTCCTTACAGGTTGCATGTTATAATAATGTTTACTACTTTATAATACTGAATATAAAGTTTTAAATCATATCTTAAAAATGGTTAGTATTCAAAATGTCATAATGATAGTACATGAAGAAAAGTGTTATCTGAGATCTTTATATTGCTCATTCTTGCTTTTTTGAGCAATAAATCTCTTCAAATCAGATAAAAATTCATAGATTTCATTCTTCCTAAACACAGATAACCCAGATTTCTGGGTTAATTAATTTTAGTGAATTAATAAATTTTATTGAATTAAAGCCTATTCCGCTAAGAGCTTTCTAAAAGTCACTATCTTAGAAAACAATTTTTTTCTAGATAGATTAGTCTCTTAGCTGAAGTTTTACTTTCTGAGATTTCATTTACTTACAAAAATGGAAAATTTCAGAAATACAGAATTTATAAATTTTAAGTTACCTGAAATTCTGAATAGCTTCATGACATTTCACAGTCTTTCCTGGAACATGAATCCCTTGACTATTGTATGTATGCTTTTTACCTCTTAATCACTTATAGACCCTGCCTCTTATCATATCAAATATCACAATTGCTTCTGTTCAGGTATCTCATGTTTAATAATAATACAAAAATAATAATGATTTTGACCATTCTGATATTACAAAAAGAAGAAAGTCAAGTTCTATCTTTAAATGAAAGGTTACAGTTTCCAACCTAAAGAAAGGAAACATACTAAGATTATGGTAAGAACAAATCAAGCTGGGCACCCATCTGTAGTCCCAGCTTGGTGGGAGTCTGAAGTAGGAAGATTTCTTTAACTCAGAAGTTCAAGAGCATCCCAAAGAAACACAGAAGGATTTTAAAAACAGAGCTAAAATTAATAAAAGGAAAAAAACCTGAATATTTGGTTTATGAAATGAGGAAGAAGTAAAAAGAAATTCATGCTAGTTTTTCTGTTGCACCTCAAAGCCTGCAAGAGTTAAAGCCACAGTGTTCAATAAGTACTTAGTTAAGATGAACTGGCATTAAAATTTTATGTGTATGTATGTTGAGGATAAAATTTTTAGTTTACATCAGAATTAAGATCACCTGAGGTTTCAGATATCTACAAGGGATCTTGACCATTTTCCCTGTGGGTAAATGGGGCCTACCGTAAACTTAAGTCATCATCATTTGCCATTGTAACATCATACATCAAATGGAAAAAGGGAAAAGTCATTTCTTGAGGGCCTTATTTTTTTCTCAATTGCGGGAATAAAGTATATTTACATTACAGTAATGAAACTGATGTTAATTTTGCCTTACTGTTTTTCTGGTACGTGTTTTCTCCAGAGGAGATAGGTATGATGCCTTGCGAGCCTGCATTGGAGATACTTTGTGTCAGAAACTACAAAAATTGAATATCTTTTTAGTAAGTGTGACTACTGATGGTAATGAGTACATTCAAACTTCTGCTGTAAAATATTATGCTAATTACTAAAGTAAATAAACCATTTAGCCTGCAAAACTGAGAATGTTTGCTATCTGTTCCTTCACATAAGAAACTGGCCAACTCATGGTCTAAAGAATTTATGCCAGAAACCAGTGGCTCATGCCTCTAATCTCATGCCTATAAACTCAGGATGCTGAGATAAGAGGATTGTGGTTCAAAGCCAGCCCAAGCAGCAAAGTCCATGAAACTTATCTCCATTTAGTAACCAAAAAGCCAGAAGTGGAGCTGTGGCTTAAGTGGTAAAGTGCTGTCCTTGAGCAAAAAAAGCTTAGGAAACACCCAGGTCCTGATTCAAGCCCAGGACCAACCAAGCACCAAAAAGAAAAAAAAGAATACATTTTAAGTTAGAGTATGAGTACAAATGTTTGAACATTAAATGAGTTTCTAGGAGGATATTTTCCTTTATAGATAAAGAAACACAGATATAGTCTGTCCTAATATGTTAGAACATGGCTGGAAAACTTTCTTTTAGTATTGTTGTTGTTAATTAATAGCCATGAAACTACAGCTGGTGTTTACTAGCAATTTTTTTAAATAATGTTTTGAAGGTCAGAAGTTATTGGAACTTCTACATGCATATTGAATCTACTCTTACCAACTTTTGATTATGTTTTTATTCCAAACAGGAATTGTCTTAAGATAGTTCTGTATATTAGAAGTGTGTAAAATTACTCGTTTTATTTCTATTTTATATATTTATTTATTTAGTGTCAGTCCTATAGCTTGAACTCAGGAACTAGACTCTGTTCCTGAGCTTCTTTTGCTCCAAGATAGCACTCTGCCACTTACTTGACCCACAGTTCAACTTCTGACTTTTCTGGTGGTTAATTGGAGATAAGAGTCTTCACAGGGGTGCTGGGAATTTGGCTCAGTGTTAGAGTGCTTCCCTTGCATGCATGAGGCCCTGGGTTTGATTCCTCAGCACCACTTAAGCAGAAAAGCCTGGAAGTGGCCACTGTGGCTCAATTTGTAGAGCGCTAGCCTTGAGCTGAAGCACTGAGGGACAGCACCCAGGCCCAGAATTCAGGCCCCACAACCAGCCCCCCCCAAAAAAAATAAAAAAAAAATAAAAGTCTCACGGGCTTTCCTGCCTGGGTTAGCTTCAAACAACAATCCTCATGTCTCAGACTCCTGACTAGCTACGATTACAAGCATGCACCACTGCTTTATTTTTATCTTTCATAAAAGATTAGCTCACTGTTTGACTTTTGTTTCAAATCTTTAAGTATCATCTATTTATAGGAATTAGAAATATTATAGTTTTCTTGTGTAGTTTCTTTAGTTAGACATGTATAAGAGTAAACTTTTAAAATATGTACTTGTTTTGTAACTTAACATTTGGAGAAAGTTAGAATGAAATTGTTCTCTTTAAAGTGTGCATTCTAGTTTTATGAAATCTCATATTTAAATCAATCATTTTCTCCCCTCTAGGTAGGATGTGGAGCCATCGGCTGTGAAATGTTAAAAAATTTTGCTTTACTTGGTGTTGGTACCAGCAAAGAAAAAGGAATGGTAAGACAGAAATTTTGGACTGAAAGCATGGTGCTAAGAGTGTAAATTTATTCTTTGATAGACAAAGAGTCCATTGCAGATTAAGATTCCATTGCTCCTTGATCTTAGTTTGTCTCAATGTGTTGCTGGGCCCTTTAGCTGAGGATCAGTAAGGTGCTGGCTTATTTTTCTGAGGTGGCAGACACTTGCCCCACCGAATGAAGCAAGATTTTTGACTGTACCCTGAAAGAATAGAGACATCTTACAGGAAGAAGCCAAATAAAGTTTTCCCAGTGAGTACTCAAAAAAGTATTTCCAGAGAATTAGTGCTCACCTTTACTATCTTTTTGCTTCAGGCGCAAAATGCTTGACAGTTCTCTCTTACTATTAGTTCTGCCTACTGCACTAAGGAGACAGCTAAATGTTGGAATTTTACAATCGACTAAGAGGAATAATGTATGACCAAACCTGACATTAAAATGCTCCACAATTGGGACTAAAAGACTTCAGTTGCAACTTTGCTATTCTGGGCCATTTGTGTCTGAATTTTAGTTTCCGCAGTTTGTCTTACCAGTAAATTTGGATTCTCTGTTGGTAATTATCAGGAAAGAATGTGCTGATTTTTCTCTAGTGTTAAGAGACTTAACAGGGTCTGTTGGGATTTATAAAAATTTAAAAAGCCCTGATATCTAACTTGTTAGTACCTTAAGGAAAACTAACTCAATGAGTGAAAAGTTTATCAGAGTACGCTGTGTCATTTCCTTGTATTTTTGTTAGTATTTTGTTTATGATTGAATAAATGAAAGATAAAATTCTGACAGCTGAAGCATCAGTCTTAGTAGCTGTTTGCACTTAGCTTAGCTTCAGCCATCAAGATAAACCTTCCAAAATTCTATGACAGCAGTAGGCAAACCTTTGCTCCTGGAATTCCAGTTCATCTTACATGAGCCAACTTTTTTTTTTTTTTTACAAGCCTCTTTTAAAGCAGTCTGTGTATTTCATATATGTGTATAGGTATGTGTTAGCATCTTTTTTTTTGTCGGTTGTGGGGCTTGAACTCTGGGCTAGGGTGCTGTCCCTGCACTCCTCAGCTCAAGGCAAGTGCTCTTCTGCTTGAGCCACAGCACCACTTCCAGTTTTCTAGTGGTTTATTGGAGATAAGAGCCTCACGGACTTTCCTGTCTGAGATGGCTTTGAACTGTGACCCTCAGATCTCAGCCTCCTGAATAGCTAGGATTACAGGCATGAGACACTAGTGCCCAGCTTGTGTTAGCATCTTTAGGATGATTTTCAACCTGCTTTTATAAAGTTTATGTGATAAAAATAATTTTCACATAGTGAAAACTAAAGTAAAAAGATTATTTTTGAATGAAGTTGTCTAAAGCTTCATGAATATATGTGAACAAATGATATTAATCTGTTCCATTCTATTGTAGTTATAATTCAGGTTCAATTTCCATAAGTTATATTTGGGTAAATAGAAGTCTGTAGACCTTCTTGAAAGGGTTAACTTACACATACTTCAGGCTTGCAGACCAGATAGATACCTGTCACAACTGTTCAGCTCTACCATTCACGCATGAAAACAGATATACACAATATACAATTACCCTGTAGGAGCACCTTGACCTACATACCCTGCCTTAGCCAGATTTTATTTCAAATTGCTAACCATTTTGTAATTTTGACTTTCTGTGACCTGAACAGTAACTTAAACTATTCTGTGGTGATTGTTTTAGTCATACTGAGAAACACAAAATAAATTACCTGTTGTTTTCCTCTTGGCATTAGGTTACAATTACAGATCCTGACTTGATAGAAAAATCCAACTTAAATAGACAATTCCTATTTCGTCCTCATCACATACAGGTATGTGGCTACTTTTTAAATATTTAAAATTACCTGTTACATTATACAAAAAGTAGTTTTCTTTTTATAAATGGAAAGTAAGGATTGAATATATGTTCTTTATTAGAAGCTCTTCAATTGTTAAATAATCGGAAGGCCAAAAGGGAAAAGTTTAAAAATTGTTTTATTATTAATTTTACATTAATATTTGAAACAAACAGTATTTGTTATTTTTGATCATCAAAGTATATCTCAATACCTGATTTCCGTAAGTAAATATACTGAAACAATTTCTGATACTCATATTACAAATTTGGAACTATACTTTTGGTGTCCTTGTTACAAAAACTGTCAAGTTTAACAATTCAAACCTTTTTGTATATTTAATCTACTTTAACTTTTCAACATAGTTTTATTAAAAAGTAATAACTTGTTTTCAGATATTTCAGGAAAGAGAAGCAATTTCAGTCAAGCATTCAATATTAGAAATTTTTCCTTTTATTGTTCAGTAACTCATTGGTAGTAAACTAAGTTAAATGAAGCTTAAGAATGTCACATCACATAAAGTAACCAAAGCAGTGAATATAGCTAATGTAATTGTCTAACTTATCCAAATATTAGGAGCAGACTACCAAGGTCTCTTCAAAACTCAAATGTATCACAGTATTCATTAGCTTAGATTTTTATCTATAAAACAATCAAAAAGACCTACTTATTATTTTACTGAGTTGCAATAAAGGTTATGATTTGTTTCTGCACTATTAATACTAGAAGTGAAATATGTCACTTAACAGTGTGAGAAGAGACAGAAATACTATTAAAATTAGTTATATGAATTCAGAATGGTCAAGAGAATTTAGCGTCAGTAGCAGTACTCACAAATGAACTTTGATAATACTTTGAAATGACTCCAAAGATTTAATGATTATACAACCTTTAGAAAAAAGAACAAACTATGTTTCTATAGGTATTCTTTCTTACAAAACTGAAATAGAAGAACAATTTCTGAAGATATTGTAAGAATTCTGGGGCTGGGAAGGTGGCTTACTGGGGGCTGGGAAGGTAGCTCAGTGGTAGAGCACTTGCCTTGCATGCATGAGGCCCTGAGTTCGATTCCTCAGCACCACATAAGCAGAAAAAAAAAAAGCTGGAAGTGGCACTGTGGCTCAAGTGGTAGAGCGCTAGCCTTGAGCTGAAGAGCTGAGGGACAGCACCCAGGCCCAGAGTTCAAGCCCCCATGACTGGACCCAAAAAAAAAAAAAAAAGAATTTTGAAGCACTAAGCTATGAAATAGATTGTTTTTATGTTTTTATTTTTATTCATAATAAATAATTTGTTCATAATAAATAATTTATTCATAATAAATGATTTGGACTTATGTTCATTATTAGATACAGCTACAGTAATCAGATCCAGACTACAATGATAATGATTTCCACAAAAAAATAAAAATTAGCCTCATTTTTCTTTCACTCATGTTTATATATTCCAAGTAATAAGGATGTGTGAGTTCAATCATATTTCATCTTTTTTTGTTTAACATTTTTTTCCTTCTGTTTGTATTTGTTATTTATTTAGAAACCTAAAAGCTATACTGCTGCTGATGCAACTATGAAAATAAATCCTCAATTAAAGATAGATGCACACCTGAACAAAGTATGTCCGGCCACTGAGATCATTTACAATGATGAGTTTTATACTAAACAAGATATAATTATTACAGCATTAGATAATGTGGAAGCCAGGAGATATGTAGACAGGTATGTTTTTGAAATTTAGGTTTATAAAGTATCTTTCACTTTTACTTTTTATTTTTCATGCCAACTAATCGAAATATTACCACATTTTCTATGTTCCAGTGGTAGTACTCCTCAAACCCATAGATGATTTCAAAACATTAAAAAATTGTTATGGGCCTAAATGGTTTTCATTGTTCACCACTCTGCCTTAAAATGTACCCAATATTCCCTGGTTCCTCTATAGCCAGCTACATTTACCTTATTTGAGTTCTTAAAAGGCTTTCACATTTTACCTCACGGACTCTCAAATACTCATCAGGAAGGGGTATTTCTTGTTTTCCAGAATTCCTGACTCCAGTCTACCTACCTGCTCTCAGTTTAGGTTTTTCACTTATTTAAGGCCTGCAAATTTTCTTTCAATAATTTTTACTTAATAGTATTTATTTTTACTGACATGTATATTTATTTAATGTTTGTTTACTCACTAAACCATTCATCAAAAATCATTTTTTCATCACTATCTTCAATGCCAAACATAGCACTTTATGTTCCATAAATATTTGTGAAAAATGGATAAATGAATGAATGAATGAATGAATGAATATAAATGTGTACACCTTGCATAGTCTTTTTAACATCATTATATGATTTACTAATGCTAGGATGCTAGAAGTAATATATTAACAGGAAGTTTTACCAGTTGAGAAATTCCTATGAAAAGATTCTAATCTTAAGTAGGATAGGAAAGAGGAAAAAAAATACAAAATTTAGAGGAATTATAGTTACAAAATTTAGGTAATGACCATATTAAAGAATAAGGTTAATAGTGTGTGGGATGAAGATAATGTTGAGATATAATAAAAGGGTAGTGATTAGTCAGAAAATAACCAAAAATTAAATAGAAATTAGAAGAAAGGTTAACATGCTTAAAAATTAACCTAGAAATAAATAAAAGTTTGGCCCAGGATTCAGTACTAGTAGTAAAAAGAAGAGATAAAAATGACTAAGTTGAGAAACAAAATTTGTGTGCATGGAAAATTTTATCTGGAAAGCGGAAGTGTTTCATAGTTAATGCTTCTGTTACCTAAAAATAGTAATCAAGAGATTATTTATATGTAAAATGGTAAGTAGAGAGTGGTGGTTATCCCTTTCTTTCTTGATATGGCTCACTTCTGTGTTTTGTACCCATTATGTTTTCAAACAGCCGTTGTGTAGCAAATCTAAGGCCTCTCTTAGATTCTGGAACAATGGGAACCAAGGGACACACTGAAATTATTGTACCTCACTTGACTGAATCTTACAATAGTCATGTAAGTGGATCAGTATTTTGAAGGTACTCTCTATCTTCTTTATATTTCATCATTTTGTCTTTATTAGTGAGCCAACAAATTTGACTTAATTTTCTTAGTCTTTGTTTTCTAAATTATATCCATATATGTGTACATGTGCATTTTTTAGCAAGATTAAGGGCCTCATCCATCACTTGAACTATATCCCATTCCTCTGCTTTTGTTATTTTTCAAAAGGCTCTCACTTTTGCCTGGCCCAGCCTTGGACAACAGTCTTCCTATTTATACTTCCCACATAGCTAAGCTGAATTCTGTGTACCACACCACCAAGCATTTTTATTGTTAGAGATCAGATCTTGTACACCTTTGCTTACTTTCTTCAAACCATGGTCTTCCTGATCTCTGCCTCCAGAGTAGCTACAATTAATAAGCAAGAGCCAACACACACCATTATATATTTTTAAAACATAATTGAACATAATGTTTAGAAATCATAAAAATGTTATGTCCTAGTTTTTTTACTGTTTCTCAGTGCTTGATTAGCTTTGTAAAAAATCAGTATTTAAGGTACCTATATTGAAACAAACCTTTAGCTTAAGAATAAAACTATCAACAGACATAAAATTATATTTATCTGCTGATAATTTTGTTATGTTAAATATTAGTTGGAATGTAAAGAATAAAGAAGTCAGGTCTCATCAGTGTTCAGTGCTTATTTTTCTTAGGAATTCCCATCCCTAGCATGCATTGTCACAAGTATCTGTGAAACTTGTACAAACCCTAGTGGATTTCCAAAAATCACATTAGACAATCAGATTCTTTATAGGTAGAACCAAGTTGTTTATGTGTATGTATTTTACATAGCTGATATGAATAAGCTTTTAAAATCCCATAAGTGATATTAAGATACTGTCTTAAGTTAAAACCACTGGTCTAAGTTGTAGCTTTTAAAATTTATAAAGTCAACTCAAGTAAAATAATTGAAAGCATCAATATCTTTTTATTTGATACATATGTTTTATTAGGTCAGTTTTTATAAAGTCATTTGTTTCTCAGGTTTACTCATGAAGTAAGTTTGTATGTGTCACGACAATACAAAATGGCAAGTTCTTAAGGCGATTACTTTATGGGGGGGAATCACGATGGTATATTTTACTTGAAGATTTTCAAAGTAATGAATGTTTTAAAAAATCCAAAATTTCTCATTCTCTCATCTACTACATCATTGCTAAGATCTTTCCTGTTATTTTACTTAAACCACATGACTTCACAGATAAAAAATGATGTTTTTGTATTTTTAATTATTTTGCAATCTTGTTAACAAATAGGTGTCAAAAGAATTAACTTTGAGAGTATATAAAAATAGATATTTTTAAATCTTATTTATATAAAACTCAAATTAATTAAAACTTTGACTTTTATTAAATGCCTGTCATCGTATCTTATTATAGCGAGATCCCCCTGAAGAGGAAATACCATTTTGTACTCTAAAATCCTTTCCAGCTGCTATTGAACATACTATTCAGTGGGCAAGAGATAAGGTAAAAATTCTTCTCAAGAAATTTGTTTTCTTTCATTAGAAAGGAGAGGTTTTTTTTCTAACTTTTAAATACTTTCATCTGTAACTTTTTTTCTTTCCTTCCTTTTAGTTTGAAAGTTCCTTTTCCCATAAGCCTTCCTTGTTTAACAAATTTTGGCAAACCTATCAATCTGCAGAAGAAGTCTTGAAGGTAAAAATAAATGTATTAATACAGATGTTACAATTTATATCAGTATAATTGAACATAATCAGTATAATAGAACATATTTTCAAGTTGGTGCTAGTTGATATAAATTCAAATGAAAATGTCATTAGTAGACATAATGAGGGAAACTTCAGAGATATTTTCTTGTATTCTTATTCCTCTACTATTAAAAAAGCTAACTTTTTAGCAGTGAGTGTTACCTGTAGAACTCCATATATTAAATTAAGTACATATGTGGTCCTAATAACTTAAGGGAAAAACATAAGGATAACAACTGGACACCAGTGGCTCTAGGCTATAATTGTAGCTACCTAAGTACCCTGAGATCTGAGGATCACAATTCAGAGCTAACCCAGACAGAAAAGCCCAAGAGTATCTTCAATTAATCTGCAAAAAATGCCAGACTGGCTGTGTGGCTCAAATAGCTGAGCACCAGCCATGAATCAAAAGCCAAGAGCATGAGGAACCAAGTTCCCCCCAGTACTGGGACAAAAGGAGAGAGAAGAGAAACACATTAAGTTTGAGCCAGGTGCCAGTGGCTCGACCTGTAATCCTAGCTGAGATCTGAGGATCGCGGTTCAAAGCCAGAGACTCCTTTTTTTCAGGGGGGGGAGTCCGGTCGTGGGGCCTGAACTCTGGGCCTGGGCGCTGTCCCTCAGCTCTTCAGCTCAAGGCTAGTGCTCTATCACTTGAGCAACAGCGCCACTTCCAGCTTTTTTTCTTTTTGCTTATGTGGTGTTGGGGAATCGAACTCAGGGCCTCATGCATGCAAGGCAAGTGCTCTACCACTGAGCCACCTTCCCAGCCCCCAAAGCCAGAGACTCTTAAATCTGATAAACCCCTCAGAAAACCAGAAGTGGAGCTGTGGCTCAAGTGGTAGAGGATTAACTTTGAGCTGTAGAGCTGAGGGACAGCGTTCAGGCCCAGAGTTCAAGCCCCCTCACTGACCAAAAAAAAAAAAAAGTTTAAAAGAGGAAAAAAAATAATAAAAACATGAAACATAGATGCTCTCCTTTGGCTTTTGGATCGTGTGTGCAAAATTAGAAGTATTTTAATTTTTGTTTTGTTTTTCTTTCCTATTCTAGAAGATACAAAATGGGCAGAGTTTAGAAGGTTGTTTTCAGGTTATTAAGTTACTTAACAGAAGACCTAGAAATTGGTTCCAGTGTGTGGAATTAGCAAGATTAAAGTTTGAAAAATATTTTAATCATAAGGTAAGTATGCATTAGCAGTCATTAAGAAAATACCTTACCCAGGTCCATTCCATCATTACTAATTTTCATTGATATGAGATGTTTACTCTTACTTGGTCAGGCTTTTGAGAAATAAGTAGTAACAAGTGAGAACAGGAAGAACATGCAACTAATTTCTATTTGAATGTTGTTTTAAATATTTAAACCATTTATTAGATTGCTAGTTTTATTATCTTTCATATGCAAAATTGGGATTTACATATCTTTTCTTACTATGGAATAAAGAGTATATATGTATCTTTTCTCCTTTTGGAATAAGGAATGTATTCTGTCTTTAGTTTAAAGAAAGATCATTCTTTAGTGCTAAATTCAGGTGGTTCTACCTGTAATCCTAGCTACTCACGAGGCTAATGATCTGAGAATCACAGAAAAATCCATGAGTCTCTTATCTTCAATTAACAGCAGACATGCCAGAAATAGAGGTGTGGTTCAAGTAGTAGAACATCAGCCCTGAATGGAAAAAGCCAAGGGAGAGCAAGAAACCTTGAATTCATGCCCCACTACCCCTGCTCTCCCTTCCCTTTCCTGTCTCCCCTCATTTATATTTGTCATACTTCCTTATCCAAGGTTTCTACTATGATTGTCAGCATTTCAGAAACTTAAAAGAATTGTTTTTAGGTCATTATATTCTGTAGAGCTTTTTGTTTTGTTTTGTTTTTGTTCTTTTTGGGTCCGGTCGTGGGGCCTGAACTCGGCATGGGTGCTATCCCTCAGCTCTTCAACTCAAGGGTAGCGTTCTACCACTTGAGTCACAGCACCACTTCCAGCTTTTTTCTTTTTTTGCTTATGTCGTGCTGAGGAATGGAACCCAGGGCCTCAAGCATGCAAGGCAAGCGCTCTACCACTGAGCCACCTTCCCAGCCCTGTAGAGCTTTTTTTGTTTTGGGTTTTGTTTTATGTTTGGTGATACTGGGAGTTTAATCCAGAGCATCCTCACCTTTTGAGGAAGTGAGCTACATACCTGATAGACAGCATTCCAACATCTCTACACTTAAACCATACCTTCAAAACCATATTCTGGTTTTGAAGTGGTTTTCCCTAACTTATCCCAGGTGGACTGAAACTCAAAATCTTGCTGCCTCTCCTTCCCTAGTAACTGAAATTCCACGCATATAGCATCACACCTGATACTGTTTTCCAATTTTTTATTATTGAAAACTTTCAACTATAGAAATGTAGAAAAATAGTAAAGGATTCCTGTATAATAAACATTAACCTAAACTTAATCATCATCAACTTACAGTTTTGCTTTATCTATGCCCAATTTTTACCCTTCCAAGATAATTTTAAAACAAATCTCAAAAAATGTAATTTTAAAATACAAAATATTGTGTGTGTTTTTCATTGCTTCCTTGTTTCCGAATTCTTTAAAAAGAGCTAAATGATAACATAAAAGGTACTATTTATATAAAAAAGATTGAAACAAGAGAAGGCAAGGTAGAGCAAGTCTGTAATCCCAGTACTTGTGGGGCTGGGCAGAGACATTGGGGGAAAAAAAAATCTAGCCGGGCACCAGTGGCTCACGCCTGTAATCCTAGCTACTCAGAAAGCTGAGATCTGAGAATCAGGGTCAGAGCCAGCCCCAGCAGAAGAGTCTATGAGACTCTTTTTTTTTTGGGGGGGGGGGGTCTGGTCATGGGGCCTGAACTCTGGGCCTGGGCACTGTCCCTCAGCTCTTCAGCTCACGGCTAGCGCTCTACTACTTGAGCCACAGCGCCACTTCCGGCTTTTTTCTTTTGGCTTATGTGGTGCTAAGGAATCGAACTCAGGGCCTCAGGCATGCAAGGCAAGTGCTCTACCACTGAGCCAACTTCCCAGTCCCTCTATGAGACTCTTATCTCCAATAAAACCACTACAGAAGTGGAAGTGTTGCTGTGGCTCAAGCCGTAGAGCATTCACCTTGAGCTGAAAAGCTGAGGGATAGCGCCCAAGCCAAGAGTTAAGCCCCATGACCCACAAAAAAAAAAGAAATCTGATAGTTCCTTTCTCAACACATAATTGGGCACAGTTGTGCATTCTTGTTATCCCAAGCTATGTGATAGAAGCAGAAAAGGGGAGAATCAGAAAATTACGCAAGCTGAATATGGTAATATGCCCCAGTGATCCCAGCAAGGATGGCAAACCTGCAGTAGGTGGAATAAGGCTCAGGCACATAGCCCAGAAAGAAGTGAGACTGGAAGTAGCGCTGTGGCTCAAGTGGTAGAGCGCTTGCCTTGTGCTGAAGAGCTGAGGGATAGTGCCCAAGCCCAGAGTTCAAGCCCCACGACCAACAGACCAAAAAAAAAAGAATGTAAGTGGAGTCATGGCTCTAGTGGTAAAGTACTAACCTTGAGCAAAAAGCTCAGGGACGATGCTCCGGCCCTGAGTTCAAGAAAAAAGTGAGACCCTACTCCAAAAGTAACTGGCTAAAAACGGGGCTGGGAAATACGGTTCAGGGGTATCACGCCATCCTAACAAGTACAAAGCCTTGAGTTCAGATCCTTGTATTAGAGTTTGAACTAAAATTAAGATTGGGTAGGTACATAGTTCAAGAGTAGAGTACTTCCTTATGTTTTGGTTAATAAAGGACATATATTAACACAGAAAGTTATAATTTTAATTAAAAATTTTTTCTCAGTTAATGTCAAATAGTTTACCTTTAACTCAATATTTTTCTTTAGGCACTTCAGCTTCTTCACTGTTTTCCTCTGGACACACGATTAAAAGATGGCAGTAAGTAGAACCAAGTGTTGAGAAAAAAAAATGATGATATAACCTACTGATTACTGTTCATCATATAGTGAAAATAATATTTGTGTCTTTTTGATAGGTTTATTCTGGCAGTCACCAAAGAGGCCACCTTCTCCAATAAAATTTGATTTAAATGAACCTTTGTAAGTATGTATATCTATTTTAACTGTGTATTTTTGATTGTACACTTCAGAATTATTGCATTTTTCTTAGTCAAAAACTAGAAGTGCTTCTGGTCATCAAAGCTACCCACAATCTTTTTCATACAAATGTGAATCCATTTATTTATATTATCTACTTTAAAAATTTACCTCTTTGACTTTGTCCAAAAAAGTCACGTTACAATAAATGTTTATATATTTAATAAAACTAAGAATCTTTAGTTATATGGAAGAAGCAATTAAGTTTTCAAAGCAGTTGATTTCTGCATGAATTCTATAATACGTTATATTAGATTTACACTTTTGTGTACTTATTTTAATTAGATAACTTGGGCTGCCTTTACTAATATTTCTTGCCACTAATAACTGTTTAATTTTTTGTGTGTGTTGCATGTTTAAGCCTGCAGAGACAGTATTGTGAAAAACATAACTTGGAGGGGGGTTATTTTTTTTTTTAGCCAACTGTTTTTTAAGTCACATTTGCTTTTAACCCCAGTCTTAAACTGAGGCCTATTTTATCAAAGTCTGTGGATTTTTTATTTGTAGCCTACATACATTTTCTTGTTTTCCAAAATGCTGTAATTGCCCAGTATTGGTGGCTCATGCCTGTACTCCTAGCTACTCAGGAGGCTGAGATCTGAGGATCACAGCTCAAAGCCAGCCCAGGCAGGAAACTCCATGAGACTCTTATCTCCAATAAACCACCAAAAAAACAGAAGTGATGCTGTGGCTCAAGTGGTTGAGTGCTTGCCCTGAGCTGAAGAGTTGAGGGATAGTGCCCAAGCACCATGACCGATCCCCCCCCCCCCAAAAAAAAAAAATGCTGTAATTTCAGTACATAGACTATTAAAACAAATCCTTCTTTGATTACTCTTTGTTTTCAAAATGAACTAATTTGCTTAACTTTAATTGGTCTATACTATTTCATAACTGGTCTGTTTTAGTTTCCTGTGAATTAAATTTTCTACCACTAGTCTAGTTTTTCTTCTTATAGCATTCACTCCTGTCTTTAAAGTAGAAAGGGAAGTTGGCTCAATGGTAAAGTGTGTGCCTTGCATACATGAGGCCCTGGGTTCAATTCCTCAGCACCACATATGCAGAAAATGCCAGGAGTGGTGCTGTGGCTTAAGTGGTAGACTGCTACCCTTGAGCCGAAGAGCTGAGGGACAGCTCAGGCCCAGGCCCAGAGTTCAGGTTCCGCAACTGGCAAAAAAAATAAAGTAGCTGTGATGATTACCTGAATATTAGAAGTAGTTTTGATAAGCATTTCATCTTTTTGTAGTTTTTTTGCAGTGTTTTGATCTATACTAGAATTGCATTGTTCACTTTCAAATATATAATCCAGTAATAAAACTTCTAATTATATAATAAAAATGTTGTGATTTTTCTTATTTAGAACATTTTAAAAGTCATATTTTTAATATGTCAGACATTGAAACTATGAATTTAAAGTATGAATTTAAAGCTATGATTTCAAATTTTGCTTTATTTTTTAATTTCACAAGGCACCTCAGTTTCCTTCAGAATGCTGCAAAACTATATGCTACTATATACCGCATTGCTTTTGCAGAAAAGGTAATATATTCTCCACCCCTTACTAAGTGATATGAAAACAGCTTGTAATTAGTTAATTGAGTCAAAGTTTGGTTTTACAAGAATGATTCATTTTGGTATAAACATAGTATGTTGTTATATTTCCCAGTCTAACATAGCCAAAGCTAATATTTATTACAGTATTACTAAGAAGAAAGCTGAATTTTTCTTTCACTTAAGGAGTAATGAAACATGAGTATTTTTTAAAGTTTTGTAAAAATACTTAACAACCTGTGCCTTTGTTATCCTAGTTATTTTATGCAGTCAAATTGAGTTATTTTGTAGTTGCGGGAAGATACTTCTTAAAGATATTTCCCAGTGGGGCCAGTGTTAGTGGGCTGTGTGATGACCCTGGAGCACGGATAGCTGGACTTGAGGGCTCATGGTTAAGTGGGTGCAGCATAGCTCAAGACCCAAGGAGGAGGGTCCAAAGGACAGGTGTGGCTCTGGCCTCCTTCCTGAGAGCCTTGGCAGGAACCAGTCCCTGAAGGCTGGACCTTCATAGTCCACAATTCCTCTGGAAGCCAGAAAACTTAATTCCTTTTGTTTTATTGACAGGAATGTCATCTTAGTCACCTATTCATTTGTTCATTATAGCGATGTTAACTGTTTTAATTAATTGTTGCAATTTTAATGGGCAACATAGCTCATCTGACTGCCAGTTTCTGCATTTGATCAAATGTTGGAATGCAGTAAACATGCTTTGGTATAAAAAAAAGACAAAGATATTCTTAAATTTATTTTGTATTGCTAACTTGTGTACTATCCTTATTATCATACTTACTCTCTTAGATATCTTCACTGACTCACATATGAAAGATTGAGTACAATGTTTAAGAGGCATATGTACGAACATTAGTTTTTCTTCACAAATGTATATCAACATTAAATATGCTTCCAGGAAGACTGAATAGAACTATTGATCTTTCCGCAGCCTCACAAGTGATGAAATTACTGGTGTGTTACAACCATACCTAGTTGTAGGTCCAATTATAGACTGTCTGGTCCTCCTGTTGATTAATACTTTTTGGAATTAATGCATATAAAATTCTTGAAGAAAGTCTAAACACAAGTGGCATTTAGAATGGTTGCCGTGTTATATACAGGGTTTAAAGGTCATATGTTAAGCAGTTTCTTAATAGCTTTAAACATCTAAATTCATCTTGAACTGTTTTTCTGCTTCTCAAGGAATGAATTTTCTTAGATTTTTTAATTCATTGAGTATTAAATTGTTTAAGGGATGTTGTAAAACTAAAAGTATGAAAGTGAACAAAAAAGACTTCCTTCTTAAAACTTGCAGAAATAACTTAAGATTTCAGGTTTGGGCTGGGAAGGTGGCTCAGTGGTAGAGCGCATGCCTTGCATGCCAGAGGCCCTGGGTTCGATTCCTCAGCACCACATAAGAAAAAAGTAAAAAGCCGAAAGTGGCGCTGTGGCTCAAGTGGTAGAGCGCTAGCCTTGAGCTGAAGAGCTGAGGGACAGCGCCCAGGCCCAGAGTTCAGGCCCCATGACCAGACCCAAAAAAAAAAAAAAGATTTCAGGTTTGTAGACTAATCATTTATTACCCCTAATCCTTTTTATCTAGTAGTCTTGATGTGTGACCACTTCATAGAAATAAGGGTGAATGTCTCAAATAGTATAGTCTAAATACTTAAGTGATAAATTATTTGTTTTGAATTGTAACTATTCTTTTATTAGCTATAGGATTTGGCGTTTGAAGAACATTGATCAATTTTTTTTTAATAAATAGGACTTGGCAGTAGATTCCCTCATGAATATTCTTTCACAAGTAAAGATTCAGGAATTCAAACCTTCCAACAAGGTAAGTTTATAAATCTATTCATTCAGCTAATAGTTAATTAAATTTCTGCTTGTGACAAATGCCATTCTAAACCTAGAGAACACAAGGAACAAAATTCTTGGTGTGTGGAGAGAACCCTTGAAGGCTTTTAGGGCTAAGATTTTTCTAGGAGAGAATACACATGTATGTGGAGGAGGGGAAGTTTAAGCTGAGATTTCAGAGCTAATTCAGTAATCCTAAATATTTTGTGTTATACTATGAGATAAGCTAATAGAGGGTTTTAAGCAGAGGAGTAACATGATATGGCTTATATTTAAAAGGATAACTGGCTGTGGTTAAGAATGAGTGTATGAAATATAAAGAGAAAGCAGGAAAAGCTATTAGGAGAATATTTCAAGAATGCGGGTAATACCTGGGCATTGTTGACTGAGGCATTATAATCATATCTCCTTGGGATCCAGGGGGTTGTAATTCAAGGCTAACACAAAAAGCTGAATGTTGTGGCAACTTCCATCATTCCAACTGCAAAATAGACATCTGGTGGTCCAAACCAGCTCTGGCCAAAAGTGAGATTTATATCTCAAAAATTAACTAGAGCAGAAAGAGCTGGAAAACCAGTTGGATTCTCTGTATACTTTAATACGGTCTTGGAAGGACTTCTAAGGAACTGAAATCAGGAATGTGAGAGAAAAGATTACTGTTCTGGTTGAGATAGTAAGCAAGCTTACTAGCTTAGAATGAAGGATATAGGAAAATAAAGAACAGAGAACAAGAGGTATAAAATAATTGCCCAATAAAATTGGAAAGTCGATTAATTACAAGATGGATGTAGTAAAATTGCAAGACAGTACTGAGCATTCAGCTAATATGCTTAATGTATTCTAAATATGGATAGAGAAAAGCAAATTTCTTAAAGATTGAAGTTGGAGGCATGGCTCAGGTTGTAGAGTGCCATCCATTGAGCAAAAACAAGTTTGAGTCCTGGTCTCGGACCAAAAAAATGTATTTAGGGGTATATTCTGCCTTTATTATGCTCAACTTTGTATATGAAGAAAAAAATTACTTGTTAGCATCTGGCAGCAATAAAGAAATCCCAATTTATATATTTTATGAATTTTCTCAGTTTCTGAACATTTCTGTACCTACTGCAAGTGTGCCATTTGAGTTGAAAGTACATTTGTCAGAATTAAAACATTTAATATTTGTATGGAGTTTGAAAAGATCCATATAAGTTATTTAATAAATACTTTAGCAGCCAAATAGAAAAATGTCTATGTGTATTTCACTGGAAGTCTCTTCAGTGAATGAGTGGAATCTAATGATTCATGATGCAGTTAAAATATATAGAGTAAATATTTTTCTCTTTGTGATCTATTGATAAATGGTAACCAAAATTAGCTATAGGATATGATAACATTAATAAATTTGTATACATATACTTCAAGGTTGTCCAAACAGATGAAACTGCAAGGAAACCTGACCAGGTTCCTATTAGCAGTGAAGATGAGAGGAATGCTGTTTACCAACTAGAAAAGGCTATTTCATCTAATGAAGCAAGCAAAAGTAAGGGAACTTCTTTCCAAAAACGTTTTGGGGCTGGAAAGGTGGCTCAGTGGTAGAGTGCTTGCCTTGCATGCATGGAGGCCCTGGGTTCGATTCCTGAGCACCACATAAGCAGAAAAAAAAAGCCGGAAGTGGCACTGTGGCTCAAGTGGTAGAGCGTTAATCCTTGAGCTGAAGAGCTGAAGGACAGTGCCCAGGCCCAATGACCAACCAAAAAAAAAATTTTTTAAACTATAGTGACTATTATTTCACTTAAGCTTCATATTGAAAAGTTTGTGGAATTAAAAAATCATAATAATAACAGTTAACTTCATCATCCTATGAAAGTTACTTTTTATCTTTAACTGTGACTAAATTCATCATTTTCCACACCTTGTGTTTATCCTTGAATGTTGAAGTCTTCCTTCTCCAAATTATATTGATTGCTGTTACTGTAGTTGATGGTGAACAAGTTTAAAAACATGAGCAAATCACTCTGTTGGGAATTTAAAATTCAGGATAATAAGGTCCTTCTGAAGACTAGTTTTTAGACAGACTTGAGGGTGACGAATCATATAGAACTCTTCGTAGGTTCTTACTGTCAGAATGTAAACATACAATCTTAAAAAATGTGTTAACATTGAAATAAAGAAAAACTAGACCATTAATTTTTTTTTTAAAGCAGAGCCATTTACCCCTCGGGTAGGCCTTCTCATCATTTTTCATAAGTGAGTGACCCCCCAAAGTTTTGGGATATTATGCATGAACCAACAAAACGTCAGGAAAACTAATTGAAAATAATAATCACTGCAATGATATAGAAACCACTGATCTAAAAGATACATGTTTTTGTTTGAACAATTGATCTTCCTAGTTGTAGATAAGACAAGTAACAAATATTGAGCAATACCAGGTGGACTTTGTTTTATTATAATCCACTTGTTAGTAGATCTGTAAACTTAGTTTCCTTATTTTGCTATTTCCTGGAGGGTTTTTCTTTTTCTTTTTTTTTCTTTTTTTTTTTTGTATTTTAGAAACTTGCCTAATTTAGTGGCATCGGAGCCTAATTTAGTGGCGTCAGAGCCATTTTCATATCCTGCTATAACTTAAGTTTCCTTGAATTTTTTACATTTCTCAATTATTTGAGTCTTTAAAAGTGAGCCAACATTTTTTTATTACTATCTTTTAAGTAGTTGTACAAGGAGTTGACAGTTTATGAATACAATTTATCTTGATCAATGTCACTCCTTTCAACATTTTCACCCAAGTCTCCCAATCTACCTCTTCCCTCACTTTTCTTAATATTGTAAGATATACATTGAATTCTTGACTGCATTCTCTTCCTCTTCTCTTCATTCATCTAAGCTTCTCTCCTTGACCCTGCCACACCCCTTTCATCGCCTGGTGTTCATTTATAAGTTTATAAGCTAATTCTAACTTCCACATTTGAGGGAAAACATGCAACCTTTGTCTCTGGGCTTGCTTTCACTAAATATATTTTTTTCCAGGTCTTTCCATTTTTTCACAAATGATACAATATTATTCTTTGTAATGGATGAATAATATTCCATTTTGCATATATACTTCATTTTCTTGCTCTTTTTGTCCACTGAGGGACATCTGGGCTGATTCCATACTTTGACTGTGGTGATGAACCAACATTGCTTTTTATATAGTAAAAACTTTACCACTTACTTGGGAACTTTACTCTGGATGCTCTGATCAGGTGACCTTCAGATGGCAGTACTTTCATTTGAAAAAGATGATGATAGTAATGGACACATAGATTTCATCACAGCTGCATCAAATCTTCGTGCCAAAATGTATAGCATCGAACCAACTGATCGTTTCAAAACAAAGCGCATAGCTGGTAAAATTATTCCTGCCATAGCAACATCTACTGCTGCAGTTTCTGGCTTGGTAAGATTATTCAAATGAAAATGGGTCTTTTTCATGGCCTTTTTCCTGTCTTCCTATTCACATAAACCTTAGCTAATTACTCAGAGATGTAGAGAAATGAATATGGGATTTTGTAGTTTAAAATTCCAAGATACTTCTGAAAACATAGCAGGCATTTTGAAATTTTGTGCTTACGAAGCTCTTAACAGGAGAAATATGCACAAAATTGTCAGTTTTCTCAATCTTTATATCCCCCATATAAAGTAGATACTCTTTTTCATGAATGAAATGAATTGTCCTAAGATTTTTTTATAATTGAAGATTTTCAGTTTGGCCCTAATTTCTCTAAAGGTATTTTTTTGTGCCCCTAATCTGAGTGAGTTTTTTTTTTTTTTTACTTTATTCTTGCTTGTAGCAGGTGCTTTCAAAGTACAAAGATTACGTGGTGAAATAACTTTGTTCATTATATAGAGAAGATAAGTTAAAAGTGTGAAGGTAAAATGTACTAAAATTCTAAAGACTTTTATAAGAAATTTATATTACTTCAACTCTATAACTACTTTTATTCTACACTAACATGTTTGAGAAAGACTTGAGAAAACTGAATAGATCCTATTCAAATCGTAGGTTTTAAACAACATAATCAGATCACCTTCTTTTATCTAGGTTGCCTTGGAGATGATCAAAGTAACTGGTGGTTATCCATTTGAAGCTTACAAAAATTGTTTTCTTAACTTAGCCATTCCAGTTATAGTGTTTACAGAGACATCTGAAGTAAGAAAAACTGAAATCAGGTATGCATGAAGGTCTGTTGCTCTTATATAATAAAAATGGAAAAAAATACCTTTATAAGAGAGAAGTAAGAAGTATTGACTTTATCTCTTTTTTCTATGTTTGTCTTTGTTATCACTTCAAGACCAGTTCAAACCTCATTTTGATGAAGCATTTGTTACTGAACTAGCCAAAGAATTTTTTGCATGTTTGTTTGGCTACACTATTTTGTGTTACACTATCACCGATTATACTTTTCATAGTTTATATGTATTAGACTTTTATACAGATTTCATCTGTGTCTACTTAACTCAGATAAATTAGAAATTTTTCCATTGTCTGACTATGGATTATGAACTTTAGATTATGACAAAGGAAAACAGTTACTTAGACTTGAATTTTTTACTTTTAGATTGGCATCAGCCAAAATTTGAATAGCACTATCCTCACAAGGAAAGCAACATAAATCACTGGTGGAAGTATATTACTATAATCTACAATAGGGGAAATATGACACTGTATTTCCAGTTTTCAGAGGAATTTGTATATATCTCAAATTATATGTACAAGATTATCATTCTGACACTATAATAGCCACTCGTTTGGACATTCCAAATATCCTATAATTGGTAACTGGAATATTGCATAATGAAACCCCTCCAGTTATTTATTTTATTTTATTGTAAAGATGCTGTACAGAGATACATTACAGTTACATGAGTAGGAAATGAGTACATTTCTTGTCAAGCATTATTATCCCCTCCTTTGTTTTTCTCCTACTATCCCTACTCTTCCCCCATCTCCCTCATTCCTACCCTCACTCCCAAAGTTGTAAAGTTCATTTCCAACATAGTGTCTTGTGAGTATCATTGTTGCAGTAGGTCTCAGCTATTTAAAAGAAAGAAAAACCACACTGAGATATACTGATTCATAATGAACAACATCATAAACGAAACAACATAATGAAACTGATAATAATGTGTGTGACATAATGGGGAAATAAACTATGGAATATTTAGAAGTTCTGTTTTTTCTCATAAATAATGGACTCCAGAAACTTTTTGTATTATACTTTCTAATTGGAAGACATTTTAAGTGTTTATATTCTGAGTATTTTTCTACAACAGAAATGGAATATCATTTACAATATGGGACAGATGGACTGTGCATGGAAAAGAAGATTTCACTCTATTGGATTTTATAAATGCAGTCAAAGTAAGATATTATTTACTTGGTTCATTAGTAGTTTTGAGTCTGGTTATATATGTACTAGTCTCTCTTATTCATGGAAGATAATATTTCAAGACTTCCAGTGATACCTGAAACTGCAAATGGTATTGAACCCATTATCAATTATATTTTCTACTATATTTGCATGCCTATGACAAAATTTAATTTATATAGTAGCCACAGAAAGAAATTAACAACAATAAAACAGAGTAGTTAAACAATATAATAAAAACACTCACAAAATAAAATATATGGTAGATTTTTAGTGGTTCTAGCATATGATGTTTTTTGGGAATTGTTTTTTTTTTTGGTCTGATCGTGGGCCCTGAACTCTGGGCCTGGGCTCTGTCCCTCAGCTCTTCAGCTCAAGGCTAGCACTCTACCACTTGAGCCACAGTGCCACTTCCGGCTTTTTTTTTCTGCTTATGTGGTGCTGAGGAATCGAACCCAGGGCCTCATGCATGTAAGACAAGCACTCTACCACTGAGCCACCTTCCCAGCCCTAGCATATGATGTTTTTTTATGCAATTTTTTAGCATTAGTATAAAGGTGACTTACAGAAGGGTTACAGTTACATAAGTCAGATAAAGAGAGCATTCCTTTTCGGTAAGTATCACCCCTTCGCTTGCTCTTTTTGCTCCTGTCCTCATCCACGAGTTGAATAGTTCATTTTCAATGTAGTGTCTAGTTAGTACCACTTGTACATTTGTTCACCCTTTGTCCCATCATTTCTGTGCCCTCCCCTTAGCCTCCCAAAGATAGATAAATAAATGAACAAAAGAAAAGAAACAAACAGCAACAAAGGAAAAAGCCTTGTTTCTATTTCCTGGAGTTTATCTTAACAAATATTATTTTATATAATCTGATGCACATAGGTTTTGCACCTTTATGTTCCTGTTTTAAGAATATCTTTTGGTCTCACTGTGTGTGAATGCCTGGAGACTTGTACAGTTTATCATGTCCCAGTGTATTTTTTTTTAATCTTTTACCCTACGGTGTATTTACGTGTAGATTTATAGGCACATTCTAGCTACAAATGAAACCATGCAATCTATGTTTCTCTGGGTCTGGCTTATTTCACTTAATACAGTTTTTTTCCAAGTCTTTCCATTCATTTCCTTATGATATCATCTTTTTCTGATGGATGAGTGGAATTCTGTTGTGTAAATCTACCATATTTTCTTGATTTTGTGAGGGTTGATTCCATGTCTTGGCTATGGTAAATCTGCAATGAACACAGTTGTTCAGCATATGATTTTATATGCTTATAAATTCAAGAACTTTCACCTTTTCAATCAGGTTTTTCTATGGCATGTCTATTCATGTTATTAACACAGTTAACACTTTGCTAACCAAGACAGCCACTAAATGACCAGTGGATGAGTATACAATGCAGATAAGCAGGACCAAGAGATGAGTCCCATCCCATGAGAGGACAGCCTGAGATTGCATTGCACTACCCAGAATGGCATACCATTTAAATCCTAGGAATTGTTTATTTTTCAAATTTTCCATCAAATTCTTTCATACTGTGATGGGCTATAGAAAGTATACAACGTATAAAAAGGGGACTGCTGTAGTTTTTGTTCATTATTAATGGGTAAAATATTAGCATTATAAACTATATATCAAAGATTATAATTGTAAATATTTGCAATTACAAATATTACTTAGGCTAAATATTGTTTAAGTATAAGTTGGTTCTCCTTTCACTGTTCATTTTAAAACATTTTCACCCCAACATTTTGTTTGAGGGTTTTGAATGTTTCTCTTTTGGGTATTTACTTTTAGGAGAAATATGGAATTGAGCCAACAATGGTGGTACAGGGAGTCAAAATGCTTTATGTTCCTGTAATGCCTGGTCATGCAAAAAGGTTAAAGCTAACGTAAGTATCTTAAATAATGCACAAGAGGGAGGAAATGGTGCTGTGGCTCAAGTGGTAGAGCGCTGGCCTTGAGCTGAAGAGCTGAGGGACTTTTTTGGCCCAGGCCAAATTTCAATCCCAATGACCAACAACAACAAAAAAAATATTCACAAAAACCATACTGAAGCTAGATATATGCTGGAAAATTAAGTGTTGAAGTTGTGGGAATTTAGATAAAAGGATTACTCTTATCTAATGCCAAGTGAACCCCTACAGGCTTCCTCAAAATAGATTCCTAAGGTGACTATATCCTTGGAAAGAGGATCAGATATAGGGGTGTAGAAGCTTGATTTGGTCAATGTAGAAAGTAAAAGTATATCTATCTCTTATATGGAAACATGAGAAGTAGATTTATGAAACAGATAAAATACCAAAATGCCAGAAAGCCATTATTTCAAATGACTTGTTGAAGATGCTTTCTGTGACTGGTTCTGTTCTAAAGATTAGGTATATATACGTGAACAAAGCAAAGTCACAACTAACTAAAGATGTTTAAGTAACAACTAGAAAAGTACATCAGATGGAGGCAAGTACTATGGAGGGAATAAGGAAGATGAGACAGAAATGTGGGGAGAGGCAGAGTTAGGTTGTTAGATTTAGTGGTCTAGATATTCCATTTGCCTGTTGTATTCTTACCTAGTAAGGTAGCATTTAAACAGACAGAAAAGGAACCAAGATAGCCAGAATTTTGACAGTGGTCTGCAAGGACTATATGACCTCCCAAACTTCTCTCCCTTTGCTCACTGTATTCCAGCTACCTCCTTACTTTCCCTCCAACACTCCTGCCATGTTCTAATATGGGACCTTTCTTGGTTCTTGTTCGTTTCCTCAGATTGTAATTGTTCCTTAATAGGGAGCCTGGCTAATTTTCACTTCTGGTCTTTGTACTTGCTTTAAAAAGCTGTTTCTTGGAAGTGGTGCTGTAGCTCAAGTGGTAGAGCGCTAGCCTTGAGCTGAAGAGCTGAGGGACAGCGCCCAGGCCCAGAGTTCA